TCGAAGAAAGTGTGGATCTACTTCCTGAAAACTAAAGATGGAGCTTACCAAAACTTCGTAGAATGGAAGAAGCTGGTGGAGAATCAAACCGGGAAGAACCTGAAATGCCTGAGGATAGATAACGGGTTAGAGTTCTGCAACAACCAGTTTGACAATCTGAGTAAAGAATCAGGGATCAAAAGGCATAAAACGTGTCCCTATAGTCCTCAACAAAATGGCGTTTCGGAGAGGATGAACAGGACAATTATGAATAAAGTCAGAAGCATGCTAAGTGAGACAGGGTTAGGCGGAGAATTTTGGGCAGAAGCAGATCATACGGCAGTCTACATCATAAACAGGTCTCCGTATGCATCTATAGACTTTGAGGTTCCAGAGGCACTATGGACAGGGTCTAAACCGGATTATAATCACCTAAGAAGGTTCGGATGTATGGCCTATGTTCACACCACTCAAGACAAGATTAGTCCTAGAGCAACTAAAGGGATTTTCGTGGGATATGCACAAGGAACTAAGGGCTACAGAGTTTGGCTCCTAGATGATCAGAAGGTTACAGTGAGCAAAGATGTCATGTTTCATGAAGACAGGTTATTCAAAGACAAGGATGTTGATATGTCAACAGATGCGAGTATGGTAAAGACTAAGAAGAGGGTCACCTTTAAGGAGAACTTAGAAGAGGTGGAGCCCTCGGAGCACGCAGCAGAAGCATCTTCAAGCCGTGGTGGAGCTATGTCAGACCCAGATACAGACCACGACGACGTAGATGAGAGTTCATCGGATGAGGAAGCTTATGATCAGACAAGTCAGAAGGATCAAGATGAACAAGATATTCAGGAACTTGATGAGGACGGCTTACCTCTGAGAAAGAACAGCTTTGGGAGAAATCTGAAGAAGCCAGCAAGGTTTAGAGAAGGCAATTTTGTTGCGTACGCCCTCGCCAGTGCAGAAGCCATAGAGCTCGACGAACCAAAGTCCTTCGCTGAAGCTCGCAGAAGTCGAGAGTGGAAGAAGTGGGATCAGGCCGCAAAAGAAGAAATGGAGTCATTAGGCAAGAATTACACTTGGAGTTTAGCAGACAAGCCTAAAAACCAAAAGGTTATCGGGTGCAAGTGGATATTCAAGCTAAAGCCAAAAATCCTTGGAGTCGAAGAACCAAGGTACAAAGCTAGACTAATGGCTAAAGGGTTTGCTCAGGTTGAGGGAATAGACTACAACGAAGTTTTTGCGCTTGTGGTGAAGCATGTGTCAATTCGTATTCTATTGTCAATGGTAGTTAATCATGATATGGAGTTGGAACAGATGGATGTTAAGACAGCTTTTCTACACGGTGTTCTTCACGAGACTATCTACATGAATCAGCCAGAGGGTTTTGTTCAGAAAGGGAAAGAAGATAAAGTGTGTCTACTGAAGAAATCTCTCTACGGGTTAAAGCAATCACCTAGAGAATGGAACCACAGATTTCATCAATTCATTGTTAAAGAGAAGTATAAGCGCAGTAAGTATGACCCGTGTGTTTATCAAAAAGGTTCTACAATTGAAGACAGGGTCTACTTACTCCTATATGTGGATGACATGCTATTGGCATCTAAGAGTGTGAAGGTGGTTCAGAACCTAAAGAGGCTCCTAAGTTCAGAGTTTGAGATGAAGGACCTAGGACCAGCGAGAAGGATTCTAGGCATGGATATCTTCAGAGATCGCGAAAGGGGTGTTCTAGTTCTTTCTCAGGAGGATTACATAAAGAAGGTTCTGAAGGCTTTTGGGATGTGGGATTGCAGAGAGGTGTCTACACCTATGGGGTCACATTTCAAGCTTCAGGCTACTACAGAGGAACAGGAACAAGAGCAGGCAAAGGAAATGGAGGACGTACCTTACGCGAGTGCAGTGGGAAGCCTGATGTATGCAATGGTTGGCTCCATACCGGATCTTGCTTATGCTGTGGGAGTGGTGAGTAGATACATGGGAAGACCTGCGAAGGAACATTGGTTAGCAGTTCAGTGGATAATGAAGTATCTAAAAGGAGCTGCAGGAGTGAACTTAACTTTCTTGAAGGGTCAGGACTTCAAGGCGAAAGGCTACTGCGACTCAGATTACGCTTCGGACTTGGATAAGAGAAGATCCATTTTGGGATTTGTGTTCACGGTGGGTGGTAACACGATTAGTTGGAGATCCCAACTCCAAAAGGTGGTGGTGCTATCTACAACAGAGGCAGAATACATTGTGTTGTCAGAAGCAAGTCGTGAAGCAGTATGGTTAAAAGGATTTTGTGAAGAGCTGGGTTTCGAACAGGAAGCTATAGAGATTCATTGTGATTCTCAAAGTGCAATCTACCTAGCAAAGAATCACATGTTTCACGAAAGGACTAAACATATCAAAGTCAAATACAACTACATCAGGGAAGCTATTGACGACGGAGATGTTCAGGTCTTAAAAATTCACACTTCGGTAAACCCAGCCGATATGCTAACAAAAGTTATACCTGGAGTGAAGTTCAGCGGTTGCCTGAAGACGTTGAACATGATAGAAGCCTAGAAGCTTCGGGGATGCGCCGTCGTCGGTGATTTTTTGAAGAAGACGGCGTATCCAAAAGGGGCTGTTGTCGCAGGTTTGGCTTGACAACAGAGGAGCATCCGAAAGGTTAGATCGGAGCTCAAGAAGTACTTTTCTGGTAAAGGAGGAGCAAGGAGGTGATTATCTCGACGTGAGATATCACTGGTACCAGGATCGGAATCCACGGACCTTGTCGGCGTCTCAGACATGCAAAGGGTCGGGAATGCGAACAAGGTGGAGATTTGTGAGTTGTTATTCTGCATTCTCTAAGGATTGGGCTTCGCAGCTTCAAGCCCAAGTCAAAGTGTAAGCAGCAGAGGAGAAAAGCGTTTGGGCCAGGTGAAATGTTAAAGCCCAATACGGAGGTTGACCGTTGACCGAGTGGATAAGCCGATGTCGTTATAACAACTTCATCAGCTCGTCTTCTTCGTGATGCGATTCATTCTGTTGTGTGCTTGCTGAGTTTTCTCTGTAAACAAGATAACAAGAGATTAGTGGATTCCAGGAAAATCTCCTGAAGAGAGACGTATCCAGGTTTTGGGAACTCTATAAAACCTCGCGTGTCAATCTCCTTTCTTTTCTTTCAAGCAACTACACACGAGTGATAGAGAGAGAGAGAGAAGAGATTCGTACCTGGTTTAGATTGGAGATCTTAGCTCGTATCGGTAACAATATGTCTTCGAGATCACAATTCATTTTATCTGGCGGGAAAGAAATAGCAGAAGGCATGGAGAACCAGCAGTTCTTCTGAAGCAGCTGGCTCATCAAATTGACAAGCAAGTTCGCAATCGCCTGACAACAATACGGAGAAGTGGCGACACTAAACTAGAAGAGGGAATGGAAGTTTGGTTTTTACACCGTTGATGTAGTTGATCACAGTGATAGACTTCCTTTAGCGTTCAAAAAACATTCAAAAACAGAGTTGCAGTCATTGTACAAAAGAGTTTTTGGCTGAATAAATTTTACATTCATTCAAACAAAAAAACGAAGGATATGATAGTGACGTTGGAAATGGCGTATACCAACATGCCGGCTTACCACGAAAGACAATCAATGCGCTGTCCCAGGGCCCAACAAAAAAGGGGCCCAATAGTAGTAATTTTATTTTAAGTTAGCAAATAACAGATTTTTTAAGAAATAGAAGGGTCCATAAAAAAAGTTTTTGGCCGTCAATAACCTATAAAAATCGAAACGTTCATCTTTTTATTCTCTCTCAATCTTCTGCCTTTTCAGTTTCCCAATCTAACAAAATCCTTCATCGTTTCTTTCAAAAAAGCTAGACACGATATTTCTGTTCTCTAAGTTTCAACAAAACCCTTCTTTACCACGAAATTTAGGTAATTGATCAGTGATCTTCGCCTGTTTATTTCACTTGATTTAGCACGCAACTAAATTTTATTTCTCTGTTGTTGAGTTCAGATTTCTATTCCTAAATCAAGGTGTACTTGACATTTAGTTTGAATCATGACCATGTCTGGATATCAAAAAAAAAAAAAAAAAAAAAAGAGAAGCCCAATTGTCTATCAAATCACAAAAAAGTTCTATGGATCAATTTGTGAATAGAGAAGGTGCTAATAAAATCCAGAACCAGAGGCCAAAAGAAATCTTTTGGTTGAAAAAAGGGTTAAAAGAAAAATAAATCTTGTGTTTCTTTTAAATGAAAGCTCTAGGCCTGTTTACTCGAAACATATAGACAAATGTTATTATTTTTGTTGCAAGCTGTGGTGGTTGCTTAAATTCGTTAGCTAATAATGGATTAAAAAATTAGAAACATTTTAGAACATTTCTAACAAGAGATAGGTTTCCTAAGAATATTAAACTATTATAATTTAATAAAATAAGTTTTAATAATAAAAAGAAATAAATTACTAATTGAATAACATATGTTCTAAAAGTATTTGAAATTGGTTAAATCGCTTTTTAAATGAGAGTTTTTGGGAACGATATCTGATTCTTTTCTTCTCTTTTAACTTTTTTTTTAATTGTTTTTAATGTTTAAAACCTCAAACATGGTCTTAGTGATAGGTTAAACAACATGAGAAAAGTAAAACACGAGAAAAGTGCAGATTATATGACTAACATGAAAACTTAGAATGAGATGAAAGTTAGATTGAAGAAAAATCTAACAATTGAAAAGGGACTACAAAAACTGTTAGCTGAATGTTTGTTAAGTGTTTGTCTTTCATAGTTTTTTTTGTATTAATGATGTTGATTTTTATGTTAGAGGGCTTTTTATTTTGAGTTATACTCCAAGGTTCAAAAAATGTTTGAGCTGCCCCTGTATACTAACATATTGGTTGGACCAACATGGGTCTGTTCTTCAAATCTGGAGAGAACGAAAATTCCAGATTCGATGATGATAACCATTCTGGGCCACATCGCACTTCCCCACGTCAACAAATTATGCATATCACATTCACAACGTTTCTTTGATGAATCAATTGGCCGAAGAAAAAGCCAACGCATGTGTTAAAAATCTATTTATCAACAAAAGTTTTTTACTAAACAATGCAGAATCCATTGTGTTTGTAGCACGTTGAGAATTGGGATAATGTTAACTTTACACTCAATATATATATGTACGTGTCAGAAAATTACGCAATAACCTATCGATCTCTACAACCTACGTGGCATTCCATAGTTATGAAATGTCCTAATCATCCCATCCAAACTCGCCGTCACGATCACCAGTCTCCACGCGCCGGCAAAATCGTATTCTCCGACGGAGATGGTACCATCGCAACTTCCGCCATCGGAGGTGAGCTTCTCCTCCGGCCACGTGGCGGTTACACGAGACGAACGAGACAATCTCCCGGAGCTCTGTAGTAGTCTCAAAGCTCGCCGTGATTCGTCATCATCGCCGGCGACTCTTGATACTTCCATTGCCGTCGGACACCAAGCCGCCGCCGCGGAAACACCCGGCGAGTTAAAATACTCGAAGGAACTCGACGATTTCGCGCGTTTCTTCGCCGAATACCCATCGTTGTTCCAGAGATAGACTCCGAGACCTCGTCGGAGTGATAAAATATGTTTCCCGGCGGAAGAAACGAACGACGCCGACGATTGTTTCTTGAATTTCGATGAGGCTGGAGAGAAATTTCAAATTTCAAACTTCAAAAACAAAAAATTTCTATTGAAATTGTAAAAACTTAAAGATTCAATCTTGAAAAATTACCTTTGAATTTGTGAAGGATTTGGGATCTATCAAAGATCCGGAGCTTCGAATTGTCGGAGGATACCATGAGTTTCTCGGAGCTTCCAGGACAAAACTCCACGGCGGTGATTCTGTTCCGTCCCCGGATAATTATCTGATCCTCCATTACAACATCGCTTCCTGTAAAAATTCCCGAACTTTAAAACCTAATTGACACGAGCGTTTAAGAAATCAAATACAAATCCGGTGAGTTTTGTGAAGTACCTGAGATTTGATAAAACCTGCAATTTCCGGTGATACAACCAACGACGATCCCCTGAAGAAGAAATAAACAGAGCAAAGTCGCGATTTTTAGAATCTGTGAAAGCTTAATGGGTACACTTGAGAGAGACATTGGATTTTTTAAAAATTACATTTCCGTTTGGTTGGTAACAGATCGCAGAAATGGAATCACGAACATCGGTCCAAGCGACGACTCTCTGTTCTGATAAACCCCAGATTCGAGCTTTTCCATCTATAGATCCGCTGACGAAGTTGTTCTTAATCACAGGATTGAATTGAACACAAGTCACTGTATTTCAAAAAAAAAAAAAAAAAAGCAAGAACAGTGAGTTTCTCGGAGCATTCAGACCAAAACTGTTATTTCTAATTTCTAGAGATCACAACAAGTTACCGTAGTTGTTGTGATGGAAGATATGAAGACAATGATCACAACCAATCTTCCATAACCTGACTGTCTTGTCCTTAGAAGCCGAAAGAAGCAACTGTACAAAAAAAACCAAAGACAGATTCATAAGCAATAGAGCAAGAAATGTCAAAAGACAAGAACATAGACTTTCTTTAACAAACTAAACTCACATTTGAGTCTGAAGACCATGCTAAGTCCAAGACATCTCCGTTGTGAGCATAAAGTTCTTGAAACGGTGTTTCTTCGATATGAAAAGCTTTCTGAGGGAACAGAACCAATGCTTCTTGTTGACTAATTGTCTCTTGCTGAAGAAAAGAGGCACACAGAGAATCCAATAGCGTGATTCGCCATATCTTTACAACTCCATCTTCGCCTCCTGTTGCTAAGAATTTACCATCAGGACTAAACTTCATCGCCCAAATTTTCCCTTTATGTCCATTAATCTGTTGTACCTTGTAAGCAGCAGATAACTCAACGTAACTCTTATTGATACTCTTCACTTTCACTTTACTCATCGTCGCTTCTTCCTTAGACTTGTATTCCAAATCTTTATCCGTTTCTCCTACGAAGCACTCGAACAACCATTTCTTCGCACTCATCTTCTTGCTGAAACTAAGCGATGGACTCGGAGAAGCTATACTCGAGTTTTGCTCTGAGTCATTCTCTTCTTCTAATTCCTCATCAGACATTGAGTTTGTTGATCCGTAGTTCTCCTCTCTAGCACAACATTGCAACTCACTTTCACCAAAAGATGACTCTGAAGAGCTTGTAGTAACCTCATCGCTGTAATCGTTTATCCTCTCCAAACACAACGAGTCCGGTTTCTCCTCGAACAGACCAAGTTTCTTGAGAAACCGCTCACGACGTTCCACGACACTCTCTGGCTCATCTGACCAAACTTGGAACTCAGCTTCAACTACTTGTTCATCGATGGACAAAACATCAGATGAATCAAAGAACACATCATCAACTTCACTTCTTTCTACACTCTTCATTTCAGTCACAACTTCAAAAAAAAGCTGATAAAGCTCGTTCCTTTTTTATATAACCTTCTTCTTGTAGCCTCCACGCGGTTCACGGACCGTAAATCCCTCAATGTAGAACCTAAACCAAAGTGTGGAATCAAATCTTCCATTAGAATTTAGAAACAACAACAAAAAAACCTAACACGACTCAATTCTCTGAACTTACATAAGTACGATGTTATGAAAAACCCCAAAGTTTCTTAAACTAATCGATTAAATAGAAATGACGGTTCCTGAAACCCAGGAAGTGAATAGAATAATCAAAATTTCTAGGTAAAAGCGTGTACCTTTGTCTCCGTAAGAAGCAATGAGGCAACAAGAAGTCAAATTCTGATGGCCGACGAGGAATTGGGTCGGGTTTTGATTTGGTTTCTTCAAACCCCAGTAACAAGAAATGTTGTTTTTCAAGTTTCTCCGTGTGATGATAAATATAAAGGGAGCTTGAAAATAGACAGAACATTCACGTTATGTCTGTGACTGGTGGGTTCGGGGTTCATCAATGGCGGCCCAATCAGAATCTCTGAGATCTTTTGGCGGCGTAATGGCCGCGATTTAGGAGACAGGTGACAATTAAAAACCTCTTTCCCTCCCACCCGACCAATTCTTCAGACTCTTACTGTGTGTTTTGTTTTCGTGCTTTTCGGCTTATATCTGCAACAACGGCGATTTGTAAATAAAACAATAAAGAGTTAGCCTTTTTGGATCAGAATCGTGTTTAGTGTTTCAGAACAGACGAGAAGATACTGTTGTCGACAAAACCCAGATTAAGTAACTCGAAATTATGAAATTTTCATTTTTTTTTTTACCTTTATTTTTGGGGATGCAAAATTTTAACGATTTTTCTTGATTAATTTTAGTAATTTCAAATTTGAGCGATAAATTGATGTGAAAATTAATCTGAAGAAAACTTTTGTACATGTTTTTTAATGGTGGAATACTTTTTTACAGATTTTTGTTATATGTTGTTACCCTAAATTTTTAACATTTATGATCCTATAAGAAAATTTAAAGACAGTATGCAATGGCTCTGTTTGGAAGAAGAAATAAAGCCATGACATTTCATTTTCTCGGAAGATTCCTACCATTATTTCTCCTGACATGGCTTTGTCCACTTGCAAACAAATAAATATGTTTTTTTCTTATGTAATTAATATATTGTTTTATTTCCTCTGTAACGAGTACATTTTTATATACATACTCAAATAAAAATGATGATAATATATGTTCATAATTTATTAAAGTAACTTTTATCTTTTTTTCCGACATAAAATAATTTTTGACTAGAAATAGTAAAATGATTACAGATTGTGTGATAATAAGAAAATGCACACGTGTGTACGTGTGTATGAATCGTTTTACCTTTTGTTGTATCATGGCGAGGAGAAAATTAGGGAGACATTTGGACCGAATCATCGTTTATTCTGAGACCATTAAAATTGCTATTTGGGGCAGAAATTGAAAGTTTTTAGTTTTTTGATTAGTTCTGAAAGAATCGGACCCGTGGATTGTTTTACAGGGTGTCAAACCGATCGAATAAAACTAGAAAATGCACAAGCATAAGTTTTAAAGTTTTTAAGTGGAAGTTATGATTGCGATTATGATTATGATTATGATTATAGTATATGATTATGATTGTGTTCATAAGTTAAGAATTAGAGGAACTTAACATTACATGTTACATATGCATCAATTTTTTTTTTCTATTTGATGTAAATTTTTAATGTGATTATATTCTTGATTCATTTTTTTTTTGTTACATTTTATACGTTGCCATTCAATGAGAGAACGGCGGAATTTTCGTGTGTCAGAGGTCTGAATTGAAAAAAGAAGTTTGTACTCTGTCTTATTTACATAAAAACATTTTGATCGAAATTATATTTTAGATGATATTAGAAATTTAAATAACTTGGTTCGTTAAAACTTAAAACTTGTAATAACTAATAAGCAACCTATAATTAAGCTCTAACCAAATTAAGCTCTAACCATGGAAAGAAAGAAAAAAGTATCCTACCGGTTCAAAATGTACGTGATTTGAGAAAACATGTGATACTTTTTTAACCTATATATAGTAAAACAAGTACGTCGAGTATATTTTTATATAGTCGAACACTTATTTAATACAAAAACTATGAGATGATTAAGAATTGTATGAAAATGTTTAGCTTGTTTTGTTTTCATACTATATATATGTATATCGACATGAAAACCAAGAATAAGACTACTTAGTTATGTAGATCTAAATGGAAATATTGCAATTGTAATAATCAAGATATAGTATAAGTAAGAACACGAACCAGTAATCTCTAGAGCATTTCAGGACTCAAAGTGAACTTGTTGCGGAATCTTCAAATTTCGAGGGAGAGAGAGAGAGAGCTTGTGCTGTAAAACATTAGTTGTCGACGATGTGTGCTTATATAGTTATATGTATATGACTGAACAAAATAACATGATACCGTTGATATATATTTACAAATGTACAATACCAAACAAATGACTTGATTAGATTTTTAAATTTTTTGGTTTAGAGAAAAAGAAAGATTAAAAATAATAATTGAAACTTATGACAATTATTTATTCCCCAGCTTGTAGGAACGCACATTCTTCTCTATGCTATGTACAGGCATACACAAACTTTTTTAAGTTTATACGAACCATGACAAAATGATTCATTAGATGCAAATTACAAAATAATAAAATTTATACGAGTAACATAATACGACGAGACGTTACCTTTATAATGTGATTTGGGTGCCACTGTATGATATTGTTCAAATCTCAACAGATCTGATTGGTAAAGTACGCACGTAATTTGGTGACCAAGATTAATTAATTAGCAAAAAATCTTCAATTTGTTTTGTTATACGGTACCAAACCTAACTCGTATCTTCGTCATGGTTATGATTCATCCAAATAATTGAACCATGAAGTAAATGAGTATATACAATTATAAAAAAAGTTAGAAAGGTGACTATTAGTTTATTACATATATACAAATGGTGGATAAATCTTGTAAGTGACTACGTGAAATATTTCGATTTGGTGAACGTTTTTCTAAGGAACCCTATCTTTTTAGTTTTTATTATTTTAAATTTGCGAAAAGGGGGCCGGGAAGAGAGTGTTGGGAAAGTTTTTACATTTCATCCGGTAAGTGGAGTACTCTACACGCATGGTCTATAGTTTCTCAAATTTTAAATTTGGATAATTAAATAATACAACTATATGCATGAAAAATATTAATTACTATATTATTTCCTAATACATTTTTATCGTTGACATATTTATCAGAGCTTTATTTCACTTTTTAAACGGAACTCTCACAAAATTTTGAATGTTTCAGTTTTGAATTTATAGTTAATGACTTAATGTCTTAACGTGGTTGAATTTGTAATGGAACTTAATACTTTTCTATTTAATGATAGGTGGTTGAGTTCGAATTTGTTATGGAAATTAATATTTTTATATTCGGTGATACGAAACCTATAGTTGGAATACTGAGTCCAAGTTGTTTTATCGATATACTGAGTCCTTCTTTCCACGAAACCTAATAGGCTAATTAATACGATCTTGACGCCCAAAAAGGTGATATACGACTAATTGTACCATATAAGCTAAATTAAAATATTAAGTTAAGATTAGCTACTGTCTCGAGTCCCATGCAATTGCTGGGTTCTGTTGACTTATTACTTGGACCAGTCAATTATGTGAAGATATACCATAACAAGATAGCATAAAACGAATTTACACAGAGAAATCATATAAATAATAAACTCTACATGAATATTTCTCTAGTAATGTTTTGTTGACAAAAAGTACACTATTTGATCAAGAAGGTATACCATATTTATACGATTATATATATATAGTTAATATATTGAGATGTTATTTGAACCCAAAAAAAAAGTTGAGTTGTTAAAAAAAAAAATATGTTGCAATTAATTTACTACCCAAAATTTATGGGTAGAATTAAACAAAGTTGAACGATATTTTATTGATCTATATATGTATTCAGTTTGTACTCTTCTTTTTCTTTAATTTTATTTTTCTTTTGCTTTTTAGATCAGACAGCGAGTACTCTTCTAATAAGCACATTCCGTGATTTAATTAATTGAGTAGATCACACACAAAAGGAAGAACACCAAAAGGGCTTTGCATCGAATTTACGTTTGGAAAATAAAATTTAATTAAAATTTTAACAAAATATCGGATATATACGCATCTCTTACTGGTGAAAATATTTTTTTTTCCCCCAGGACATCCTTACTGGCCAAATTGTGTACTCGTGGATTTAGTTGTGGTTAATGATTAGTACGTGATTAGAGATGGAGATACGGGTATCGATATCTTGTTAGTTGATTGATTAATTAATAAGATTTGGGTAATTAAGTAGGGTTTTATGATAAGATTCTGCATGTGATCAATCCTTGGCTTGCCAAATAATTCAAAAGAAAATTGCGGTCAGGGTTGTATCTTTGTCACAGTATTTCCTACCTAATTATATTCATTTTGTTTGACATGGTTTAGTATATTATAATAATTCAAATTACGACATATAGGATACCTTTATCTCTAGACGAGATGATGGTCACAGCAAAAACGAAAAGTTGAAGAATGAGGACGAGTATTTCTTTTCTCTCCATATGTAATATACGAACGCTTGAAACAAGAGTTATGTGAAATAAATTTCCGTTATATGAAAGCGTATTTCGGAATTCAACCCTTAAACCGAACTGAATTATGCCACTCCACCTGAAATATGTTGATGCTGATACAAATAGTCTTGACCGTATACATATATAGACTTCATTTTTCGTAATTGTTTAACTAGTAGATATAAGAAATCCGAGATCTGTAGTTTTATGAAGTGGGTAAATCTTATATATAAGAGCCAGCGTTCAAGATTTAGTGATAGAGAGGAGACTAATTAACATATATAGTGAGGCTATGTAGTCCATAAGTCAATAGCCTCAAAATTCTTGACAATTTAAGAAATCTATACTATAAAAGATGGCCAACTATTTCTATATGAGTGTCACCTCATCATTTTGGTTTATTGTAGAAATGACATGTGTCATTTTTAAAAATTTAATGATACAAATTATATAAAATACAGTTGATGCATAAATTTAATGTATTAAATATAAAGAATTAAATAATATAATTTAATAACAATATATACATAATATCCAAAAATAATTATTGAATATCTATTTTGTGGTAGTTTTTAAAAATCATTAAAAAAATTTATGTTTTATATTTAAGAGTGTTTTCTTATTTTTAATTAATATTATAAGATATTATTATAAAAAAATTATACAAATATAAAAATAACAATTATTTGATATTTTGAACCTTAAAAGTTAGAAGAAAAATTTATACAATATTATAATAAACTTTAAAACAATTTTTTATAAACTAATAATTATTTGATAATTTATTTTATTCAAACTTGATCCATAAATAATTTTAAAATTAATAAGATATCAAAGTCCTAATATATATATATATATATTTATAAAATATTTAATGCAGCTGTATAAATTAGAATTATAATTCAATTATTTAAGCTAATAAAAATATAAAACTATGGCATTGCTATTGGGTAAATGTACGCCATGAACAAGTATGACCTGTTAAAAAGAGTCGTCTCTATCTATGTTGTGCTTGAAAAGTTTCTCTAATTAATTTTTGTTATATAGTACTTCTCTGATTTGCACTATATCCATTTAATATATTTTATATACAAGGTATAATATATTTCACATTTTCTTATCAATAAACAATTGATCACATATATAGTTAATATCCACATAATATGTAAATATGTAATGTATGTAAATTTAAATACACAATATCCTTAAAAAATTAGATATATGATAAAATAAATGGTAACTACACTTTTTAGTAAATTATTTTGTGAAAAAATATATACGCATCGCGCGGGTATCTTGTGGGTACTCATCTAGTCAATTATAAAAGTTTAAGTGAAACTAGTGAGCAACATGGCTGGCGCTCAAAGTTATTATGGTTACTCAGGCCAAAAACAAATCATGGGTCTTTCAGGTTTTACTTTTGGGGAGTATTTTGCGAAATTAATCTTTGTTATGTTGACTTTTTTGGGGTAGATTTTGTTCTGAAAGAAAAATGCATATACAGTATATTTGTTGTGAAACCTTTGTAATGTTGTTGTTATTTAAAAATGTACAATATATATTTAAAATTTATTATTCGATCCTTTAATTATTGGAATTTCGGAAAACAGAATTGGGCCTTAAAATATCGCACCCCATATACCCCCACCCCCAAATAAACCGGGCCTGATGAACAAGAGACTAGTGAACATGTTGGACCTTTTGGTATTCAGTCAGAAAAACCTGTAAATCAAATACACAAAATTTCTTGGTATGAACAAATATGAACTAAAAAATTGCGTGTAATTTTAATCAATCATGTAAAACAATGGTTATGAAGTGTGTGATTTATTATATATTTCGTTATTTTGCCAATCCACCATGAAAAATGCACCCAAAACTATAACTAGAATGGTTGGAATTGGTTCGGGTTCATTGGTTTTTGGTGTTCGGTTCGTTTAGCATATACTTCTGTACATAACATATCCAGTGGCTGAGATCAAATCATAAACTGAATGAACGGCTAGGATTATCCAACTTTGCACCGCAACAAAAAAACCTACAAGTGGGCCCCACTACGCGTACAGCAAAAACTCAACCTAAGAACTTCGGGCTGAAACTCGAACAAGAAGAAGAAGAAAGAAAAAAAAGAAAGCCTCTCACCAATTAGAAAGCTAAAGAGTTAAAAAAGTCATCGACTGTCTTCATTCCACAAGTCGTACTCTCTCCTCTGGAAAACCTAGAAGCAATGAAGCCTCGTTAGATACGCGTCAATGGATTGTTAATCGCAGGAGAAGCACGCTCGCTCTTAGGGTTTCTCTCTATCTCTCTCTCGATTTTCTCTTTGGGTAATGGCGTTGTTTCTCTGAATTAACGTGAGTATCCTTCTTACTCTTCAATACTAATTGCCCTCTTGAATTTATGGTTTCGAGAGACTCGGGCAAGCTCCAATTTAGGAAGGGCGTGAGACTAGAGATTCGGATTTAGTTGGTTTTATTCTTGCTCAATTTAGCTCTGAGTAACTGTCGGGGAACTCTTGTTAGCTGCAACTAGTTACTTACTTACTTCACCTTTGATTCAGAAAGGATCTTCAACATCACTCCTGTCCAATTGAAAGATGAGATTTTTCTCTCGGAATCTTTGTTTCAGTCCTCTGATCTCTTTTCTGTTAGACAAAATTTAGGCCTGGAATGTTTTTAAAAGTGGAAACTTTTGTGAGTGTTTAATCTTCTTTTGATACAGATTTTCTCTCGCAGATATTTAGTTCTAGTTTCTGGCCTAACAATGAGTGGTTCGGGGAGAAAACAACGTGTTTCGAAATGGGATACCAAGGAAGAAGAAACTCAGCATCTTAGTGGGAACGATTACATTGGGAAATCAAATTCTTACTTCCGTGACGAAGATTCCGAGCATGGACGGTTTTATCCGGAGAGTAACGGTAGAAACGGAGGAAGCAGGAGGTCGTCTGCTCCTGATGATGACGATGAGCATCTGAAGTCTAGACAACACTCAGGAGAAGCTTGGCCTCCCAGAAGCAGCAGAGTCTCACATGACGACGGTGACGCCATGATGGGTTACTACGATACTAGAAAGTCTACTGAGCAAGATGAAATCAGACAACCGTATTTCCGCCAGTCACCTTCGAGGGACAGGCCTAGGACCCGTAGGTTAGTGTCGGTTACAAAAAAGTCTTCTTTCTATGACATAGTACTTGTGTTCGATTGATTTGTGATGTACTGTCCTTCTTTGTACAGGAGTGGAAGTAGAAGTAACAGCAGGAGCCGTAGCCGTAGCAGGAGCCCAATGCAGAGAGTTAGGCGAGATGCAGGAGGATCCTATGACAGACACAAGACGAGAGCACGTGTTTCGCCACGGTCGGGGAGAGAAATCGATGGTAGTCGATACAATAGAGCTGGTGGTGACTATGACTGGGAAGCCAAGAGTAGAAAGACCAAATATTACAGCGAAGATCCGCGAGAACAACATCCCGTGAGAGTTGGTGGGAGATCTGACTATGGCTCTGATTTTCCAGAGGATAGTAATAACTCAAGAAGAAGGGATGCTCCTAAGGGAGAATACAACAGAGTCTCCAATGTTCCTTGCAGGTATTTTGCTTCGGGGAACTGTCGTAACGGCACGAGCTGCAGGTTTTCTCACCATGGTGCGAGGGGAAGTCCTGAGAGAAAGCCTGAGATGTTTAGTAATAGCAATCACAGCGGCGCAACAGAGAGGATGCGGAACAGTCAGAGATGGAACGATTTCGAAAGATCAGACACAGGAAAGTCCAGTGATGTCGAGATGTCTCGTGTCAGTGGCAGAGTTATGTCTGGTGCTAAGGGTAATAATGGAAGCAGCTGGATTGATGATATGGAGATGTCTCCAGATTGGAATTACGGAGTTAAACCGTTGAAGAAACCCGTGAACGAAGAGCACAGTGTCATCATACCTCAGAGCTCGCAATCACAATCACAATCACAATCACAATCACGAGTCCTTAAAGATAACTTAGCGCCTGGTTACGAGCATGGCTCTGTAGCTATATCTCAGCAAGATGGAAGTCGAAGAATGTTTTCAAACGTGGGAGAAAAGACTGTAGCTTCTTCGCATCATAGTTTCGGCAACAACCTCCCTGCTCCTCCGGTTCAAGCATTCAATCAAAACAACATTGAGAGTCTTAGCGCAGTGCCTCCTTACCAAAGCATACCACTAGCAGTTGGAGGGAGTCAAATGCTGCTGCCTCCTGCTGCTTCGAATCTTCCCGGTGCTGGCTTAAGCTCGACCAATCCTGAGAATGGGAATGCTCAAAGCAACACTGTGAGCAGGGAAGAGCTGAATCATATTAGCAACATCTCTGCAACTCTAGCACAGCTTTTCGGGAACGGTCAGCCGATTCCGCAACTTCATTCTACTTTGAATCCGAAACAGGTGCAGGTTCCTGAAGAGTATGGGAAAAAGGAACAGTCTTTACATACTCAAAGCGACCTCCTCAGAGTTCCAGCAGTTACTGCGTCACAGATAAACAACAGCGACGCACAACAAGTGCAGATTCCTGACAACTTGGTCTCACTGGGTGGAAATCTTAAGGCTTCTTGTGAGGAGAACAGAGACAAAAAGACAGAGGAAGAAGCTAGCAAGGAGCCAGATGGGAGAAAGACTAGGGAAGAAGAAGAAGAAGAGAACGCCGAGGATGCTGAGAACGTAGTTGAGGAGGAAGAAGATGATGTGGCCGGAGATGAAAACAACAAGAAAGACAAAGATCCCAAGGGAATGAGAGCGTTCAAATTCGCGCTTGTGGAGATTGTTAAGGAGCTTCTGAAACCAGCTTGGAAAGAAGGTGGGATGAACAAAGACGCATACAAAAACATTGTCAAGAAGGTAGTTGACAAAGTTACAGGCGCGATTCAAACGGGGAACGTTCCTCAGACACAAGAGAAGATCGATCATTATCTATCAGCTTCAAAACCAAAGCTTACCAAGCTTGTTCAGGTTTGTTTGTTTGCTCCTACAACACTTTTCAAGCTTTTAAGACCAGATTTTCAGTCTTTTGAGCTTTCATTAACCATTGTCTTTGTCTTCAACTTTCAGGCATATGTTAGCAAAGTTAAGAAGAGCTAATTTAAATGAAACTCCATTGTTTCATATTGCAAATCCACCATCAAAGCTTGGACTGCTGAGAAATGTTTAAACTTCTGCTTCTCTTGGAGGTTTTAGGTAAGGATCAGGCAAGCAGCAAGCTTATGCTTGCTTCCTGTCTTCAGTTGTGTGTAGATATACCACAGAGATTTTGTCAGGAAATGAGAGATTTGTTTTTCTTTGGTTGATTTAATAATTTAGTGGAAATTAGTAGACAAGACCAAAAGCTTCATTTATCGTTCTGTGTTGTCAGAATATAGAAAGGTAGATCAAGTTCCATCCATGATTGATTATCAAATCTCTGTTCTTGACATGTCGATTTTCTATTTTGTCTTGTAACGCTTTTGTTCTTTACCAGATTCGACCTCTGTTTTTTTATCTGAACCATTTGTTCGACCTTATGCAATCTTCTTATATTATCTGTAATTTAAAAAATGAGATTTTAGTTGACGAAATTGGCAAAGTTTATGAATCTGCGTCCCATCATAAAGTACATGAGATGAGCAAATTAAGTAACATCACCTAATTTACGAAGAAAGTACTTTATCCGATTAACGATAATTAAATTAGTATACCGAAAATCATTTGGATGTATATAGTTTCTTAACCATAAACAATGCACTCACTAAAATTGGATTCAACAACAGAGACAATGATCAAAGACCAGAACATCCTTAAAAGACAAATTTTCTTTTATGTTTTTCCTTTAATCTTAATTTACCAAATTAGCCTTTACGCTATTTCCAAATCTTGACGCATCGAACTGATAATATAAATTAATTACCGAGCAGACATCGGAATCGGACAGTGTCCTCTTTCCTCGGCGATCTCTCTTCTTCCACATCTCTCCGATCTCAATAAAAAAAACGCGTCTTTGGTTTCTAACGCATTCGAAAAGAAACACGTCCCAAAGTCTATGCTCTTCGTGCTCAAATTATAATTCTTTCACGGTATTGCTTTTGGATTTCATTGCTTCTTCTCCGTCTCCTCTTCCGAATCGGTTGGTTTTTTGCTTTTTTCGCGGATTTGGACGATGCCCATTTGGTGATTCGATCTGTTTATCTCTGGGTTCGCTGCAAAATGTTGTATTTTCCTCGAAAATCACAGCAACTGTTAGGTTACTCTCTGTGCGTTCGTCATTGATCTCGCAGTTATTAAAAAAAAAAGCTTATTGTTTTGCATGATGGGTTTAAATTTCGCATTGAATAGAAGTGGAAACAGAGGAGCTAAGGAGATAGATCTTAGATGGTAACTAACTATTGTGATTTGAAAACGCTTGAAGAAGATGAGGTTGAATCATTAAGGAAACAATGAGTAGTTTCACTAAGAGCACATCATTCAATAGAAGGGCACTGAGTTCTCTAGCTATAGAAAGCCCTAGAAGCTCCTCTTCAAGCGCATTCAACAGCCCCATTGGCTCGGCTTTCGCGAGCCCGAGAACACAGGGCTTTGGAGCAAGTCCAAGGCCGTCTACGAACCGGTTAAAAGAGATCTCGTATCTGTTTCAGGTGCTTATCATCTTCGGAACCATCGTCTCCTTTCTCGTTATCATCGCCGGTGGTTATCTATACGTTGTTCCTAGCCTAGGCCAAGCTTTCTTGGGTTACAATGGAGCGTTGCAGTTCAACAGCTCTGTTGCTGATGACAAGGGATGTGACATCTTCGATGGGAACTGGGTCGTTGATGATAACTATCCGTTGTACAACGCTACGGAGTGTCCTTTTGCGGAGAAAGGATTCAACTGTTTAGCGAACGGTCGTGGACACGAGGAGTATTTGAAATGGAGGTGGAAGCCTCAGCATTGCGATGTCCCTAGGTTCCAAGTGAGTCATGTCTTGGAGAGGTTAAGAGGTAAAAGGATAGTTTTTGTTGGGGACTCGATGAGCAGGACGCAGTGGGAGTCTTTGATATGTATGCTGATGACTGGTTTGGAAGATAAGAGGAGTGTTTATGAAGTCAATGGGAACAACATAACGAAAAGGATACGTTTTTTGGGTGTGAGGTTTAGTTCTTTTAACTTTACGATCGAGTTCTACAGATCGGTATTCTTGGTTCAGCCTGGGAAGCTGCGTTGGCACGCGCCTAAACGCGTTAAGTCGACGTTGAAGTTAGACGTTTTAGATGTTATTAACCACGAGTGGAGCTCGGCGGATTATCTCATATTCAATACAGGTCAATGGTGGGTGCCTGGGAAGCTTTTCGAAACGTAAGCTCTCTTCTTGAAAACTTTCATAGCTTTGATTTATAGAACGTTTTTGAAAACGAACTCTGATGTTATGGGACAATCAGTGGTTGTTACTTTCAGGTTGGAAACTCACTGAGGCTTGGAATGTCGATTCCTGCAGCGTATAGAGTAGCTTTAGAGACGTGGGCATCATGGATAGAGAACACAATCGATCCTAACAAAACACGTGTGTTGTTTCGTACCTTTGAGCCATCGCATTGGAGGTACACAGAGCTTTTTTTACTTGTTCTGCTTGTCTTTAGATAGACATTGATCTAAGTTTGTTGTTGTTGTTGTTGTTGTAGTTATAGTGATCATAATAGATCATGCAATGTGACAAAGTATCCAGCACCGGACACTGAAGGAAGAGACAGAAGCATATTCTCTGAAATGATTAAAGAAGTAGTCAAGAACATGACGATCCCTGTGTCGATCTTGGATGTAACTTCGATGTCAGCGTTTAGAAGCGATGGTCATGTCGGTTTATGGAGTGATAATCCGTTAGTACCTGATTGTAGTCATTGGTGTCTACCTGGAGTTCCTGATATCTGGAATGAGATCTTGCTCTTCTTCCTCTTTAGACAACAAGTAAAAATTCACTTTGTTTGTGCTCTGTCCCTTTTTATTTTTTCTAACACAATAGCATTATCATCCTCTTATTGTGTTTTTACTTGATTCGCAGGTTCCTCAAAATGGATAATTTCAGGTTCTTGCAACATAACAATAGAAAAAGAAAAAAAGTTTAACGACCCTTGATGGCTTAATCTCTCAGAGCTGTTTCTTCTTGGAGCTAAAGACAGAGAGAGAGGGGTCACAAATTTTGGTTACAGTTAAAAGAAAAAAAAAAGTAATTCTTAATTCATTCTTTTATTGTTTCTTCTACGTTCTTCTTTTAATGTATTATCGATTCAAAGAGAGAAAGTGAGAGGAATTGTTCTAAGCTGAAACAGTTTTGCTCCCCAAACTATTTTGGTATAAAAATGATTTGGTTACTATTCAACATGTAGTTAATTATCTGCATAAACAATTTTCTTGCCGATTTTCGTATAACTGTAACCAAAAGTGGAAACCAGAAGGAAGCTTGACATGTATATTTCATAATTGAGATTTTTTCAAATGTAACAATTTGAAAAAAGATGAAATCGGTTGTCCAGCCTTTCTGAATTCATGTTTTTTCACTTTATAGTTTGAAGTTAGTTTCTGCTATTTGAATTAGATAAGAACTTTCTTCTATATTGGCAATTTTATTAGAACGATAACAACATAGATAACAAATTTCAGCAAATATATAGCATCGTATATTGGATATCCATTATTGAACTTTTGATACAGTACTCAAAGAATACAACAACCGTTACCCCAAGTGATATCACAAGGCATTTCAAGGCAACATCTCAAGTGTTGTTACTTTAAAGTGCACAACTTAAATTCCAAAATCATGAAAATATGATGAATTAGAGTTTGTGTTAGTATTTTTTGCTTATGTTTTCTCTGATTTTTACCCTAAATTATATATTTTATATTTATATAAAGTGTTTTTGGTTAATGTCCATTGCCTAATACATATATCAGTTGAACTTACTGATGACGTACTGCATACTCAATGCAATGTGACAAAGTAGGAAGAGACAGAAGCATTTTCTCCGAATTGATCAAAGAAGTAGTCAGGAACATGACGATCCCTGTATCGATTTTGGATGTGACCGGAGTCTGGAACATGACTTTAGGTCTTTTCTCTCTTTTTGATCAAAAACTTGCATTAACATTATATATAAAGCGGGTAAAGCCCATGCTTTAGGCGGCAAAAATTAAAATTATGGATAAAAGTAACATGATAAACTTTTTAGTCTCAAATTTTAATTACTAATGTTCTATGGTAATATAAATTAGGAAAAAAAAAAATCCTTTAGCATTACTTATGTTTGATTTGATTATTACTATTGAACATGTTTATACGAAAAGAGTTTGGGGGAGAACAAACCAATTTTCTTGCCGATCTAATCACTCTCTTCGGAAGAAACACATACTCCTTTTCGTAAAATTGCAAGCAAAAGTGAAAAAACAGAAGCTTGACAAGTATATATGCAAATTCAACTTTTTCTTAAGGAGAGAAAAAATGCAAAGGTAAAAAAAGAAAAGTTAAACTGGAAGCACGAATGGAGAACATAGAGGTACTGTAAAATGTTTTTGGGTTAAAAGAGAAATCAAAAGTAAGATATTTTACAACAACAAAAAAAAAAAAGAGAAAAACTCTAATAATGACAAACGAGCAAGGTGGTGTAGTAGTTTTGTTTGTGTGTGTGTGCGAGAAAGAAGGAAAGAAACTACTTGTCTTTGCCACCGAACATTCCCATCAAGTCCTTGCCCGAACCCATTTGCTTCATGAGACTCTGGAGACCGCCCATGCCGCCGATCTGCTTGAGCATATTAGGCGGTAGGACCTTGCTCATGTGCTGTGCGTTCATGTTCCTCGAGAGTGCGCTCATGTCTCCGTTCTTTGGGATCTTTAGCCCTTTCATGTTTCCCCATATCTTTGCAAGCTTCTTGTACTCTTCCAGCATCTCCATCACCTCTCTTACAATCCTCCCTGACCCTCTCGCTATCCTCATCATCCTCGACTCGTTAAACAGCTTCGTGTTCGAGCTGTCCAGCTCTGCACCAGTTTAAAACCCTCAGTCTCACCATTTTCTGCTCAAAAGCTCATTATAACTACACTGTTTCGGCAATTAAGATTATCTATTGTTCTCACCTTCGTTTGTCATAGAATCCATCATTGTCATGTATCGCTTTAACTTGGCCTGACTTTCTTTCTCGTGTCCTTTAGGCATAATTTCAGAACTGAATCCAGGAAGCATTTGGAAAACCTAAACACACGCCAACAACACGTTCACGTTGCTATATATCATCAAAACACCTCGTGCTCTTAAAAGCCTAAATAATAATACTTGACAAGAGATTCTGACCTCTTTAAGTGGGCCCATGTTCAGTATGTTCTGGAACTGGTCGTACATAATTCTCAGTGTAAAGTTACCCTGAGAGAGCTTTTCCAGAAGTTCGGGCTGTTGGTCTTTAGGCACCACCTCTTGTAGTTTATCCACGAATCCAGACCAATCACCCATTCCTGTTGTTACATAAAAGATTCTGAGTCAACAAACAACCCATTGGGAGACTTTGACTACTCCTCACAATGCTATCAATATTTAATCAGTGCCAAGTTACCTAAGAGACGGCTGACAAATGGTTTGACGTCAAACACTTCAAACTCATCCATATGCTCTCCTGTTCCGATGAATATCACAGGACTTTTTGTAGCTGCAACACTAACAAGATAAAAAAAAACAGATCACATTCAATTTCCCAACTAGAAAAGCCTGCAAGATTTTCATTATTGACTACATAGAACGAGACTCAGCAGCTGAAAGATACTTACGCGCTAAGAGCACCACCACCCTTGGCATGACCGTCCATCTTAGTGATAATCACAGCTCCCACAGCAACACTTTGCTTAAATGCTTGAGCTTGATCGAATGCAGCTTGACCAATACTGCTGTCCATAACAAATATAACGAGATCTGGTTTCTGCAAAATGAATAGACCATGATCAGAACCCGTAACATCAATCAGAAACAAATATTAGACTTCAAGACAACAGATGATACCGTTGCTTCAGCAACTTGACGCATTTCTTCAAAGAGGGTAGCTTCTTGTTTATGGCGACCACTGGTGTCAACAATAATAAGATCACAGTTTTCTTTCTTGAACCTATCAACTCCCTCAACAGCGATTTTCACAGGATCAGATTCCGTGTAGCTGCAAAGATTCACAACCCAGCATTAGCACATTCTGCTATCACGGTTCGCCCTAGTGAATAGTGTTCTATTACAGCGATAGTTTTAATCCAAATATTTTCTTCTTTTTTCATTGAAGCAAATCCAATAACTACAAATAGCACAGTCACAGCAATCGCAAATAGAAACAGAACATAACATACGACCTCAAAAGATCCATTTATGCATACTTTTGAACTCTGAGACATACATGTGAGATTGTTTGGTAGAGTGGCACTGCGTAATGAATTCCAAAAGAAAGAGCCCAAGCAAAAACAGGCAAAAAGGCTTTACGAAACTCCCAAGTTAAGTGGCACGCAAAGAAGTGAAGAAGTATGACAAAAACCTACTGGATGTTAAAAAAAATATATATCAAGTAACCCTAGTCCTTTTCAGTGCAGATTTTTTTCAGCTACTGACCTAAACCAAACCTCAGACTCAGAGTCTAAACCAAACAATAGGATACACTTTGTACTTAGCCTCTACCGTCACAAAGAATAAAAATCCATAATTTTTCACAAACTCTAGTATGTGAGCTACTATTTTATTGGATATAGAAGCACCAAAGGTCTTACAAGCATGCAAGAAGAAGGCTGATACAAAGACAAGCGTAAGATCTCATAACGCCGTAAAGGGATTGATTTGAGGTACCTTCCATAAAAGGGGATCCTAGCCTTGGTGGCATTCTGCTTCAGCTGATCGAAAGCTCCCGCCCTGAAAGTATCAGCACACACTAGAGCTGGTTTGTACCCTTTCTTCTGATGGTAATAAGCATACTTTGTACACGTTGTGGTTTTTCCAGCACCTAAACATAATAGCCAACGAAACTTAGGTTACAATCTAATCTACACATTAGAAACAAACTCAGATCAACCATGAGTACAAAGACCTCACCTTGTAATCCGACGAACATAACTACACTAGGTTTAGACTTTTTGGGTGCAAATGCAGGCTTTCCTGGGTCCAGCATTTTACAGAGCTCACTAAAGATAGCCTGAGAGAAACAACAATACGAGAATCAAAGAGCAATTCAAGACAAAATAGTCAAAACCTAATTTCATCAAATTCCCCCAAAAATTCATAACGAATTTAGACCTGCTCGATGATCCGTCGCTTGTTGTGGCCGGCTGCTAGATCCTCGAGGTTGACGATCTTCTTAATATTGCTCTGCATCTCCCTCACAAGGGGGAATGAAACATCGGACTGGAGCAGAGCGCGAGTGATCTCGTTCAAGCATTCGGTCAGAGCCTTCTCATCGATGATCGTCACGTTGCTCATCTGCTGCAAGGCGCGGGTAATCTTCCCGCCGAGCTCCGCCAACACCATCTTCGCTGCTGTGTGATTCAACAAATATCAGAAAATCGAATTGTTGTCGAGGGAGAGGATCGGATTTGAGGAACTGAGGCTAGGGTTTTGATCAGAGATCTTTCGTCGGAGATTGAACGATTGTGACGGGGAGATGTTGAAGTTTGATCTTTAGAGGCGAAGCTAATCAAACATGATGGGCCTCCAACCGGCCCAATAGGCTACATTAAACAGTTTTTATCAAGTTGAAGTTTGATCTAAAGGCGAAGCTAGTCAAACATGATGGGCCTTAAAGGAGCTTAACGGGACCAATGGGCTACTCAAACCGTCTTGACGTTATGAACCGTATTAACACTCTCTTGCAAGTTTAAGATTCTTAAATCAATTCCAAATGTCTTATAATTGGTGCTTAAGCATGTGCAATATGGTTGATTTCTCAAATTTCAAATCTCAAAAAACAAATATTAGCTTTAATTAAAATGTATAGCTTAAAAAAATATTAGCTTGCCTATGGAAAGTATGCAAGTTTTGGCTTTGTCTTAAGTTTTAAAATGTCCCTTTTCATTTCCATTCCAATTGGATTATGTTGTTGTGTTCATTCATGGTTTTGGAATGCCAACCAATATCATGGCTTAACGAAGTATTCTCGTGATCTTGTAAAGTGCAAGATTATGATATTTTTCATATATATATTTTGTTCTAATGTAGTTTTTTGTAGTCGGTTTTACATCTTCTTTTGAAGTAAGCGATTCTACATTGTTCATATCTTATTTCTATAGAATGTCCTAAAATTTTGACTAAACCATGATTGTTTTGTTAATTTTCTTCTTGAGCATAAACATTGGATTAACTCTTATCGGATAAATATCTGAAATCCACACAACATCCCAAAAGTACACCGTGTTTCCAAACTTAGGGTAAGTTGATCCGAACAATCACCATAATTAAGTTTTTTGGCTACGCATCTAATTAGGTTTATTAGCTTGACAAAAGAATAACAAAAAGAGGATAATTGACTTAGACTCCTCCACTAATATTTAGTCAAATGACTTGTGTACTTCCTTTTCTATCAGCCTTATCCAACAACAACAAAAAAACTTATATTTGTTGTGCATGAATAAATGTAGTGACAAATGATCACCTTGTAAGAGTCCTACCGTTGGGTAAATTTTACTTTGCGAAAAGCCATTGATCATGATGGAGTTAATTTAATGTTTTTACCCAACCCCAAGAATGAAAATTGCATGATTGGTAATGTAAAGACACATTATTATTTATTACATTAACCTTGTTGATTAGGAATTGCTAGAAATTTGAAGACACATTATTACATTAACTAACTATATTAGGTTTGGCTTATATACGGAATTCGTAATTTAATACTGTACATTACAATTTGTGAAAAAAAACAGAATTTTTTTTTATATCACCTATAAAATAAAAAATAAGATTCAAAATTTAATGTTTTTTTATCTTTTGTTTACAAATACAATGCTTATTTTTCTTTTTCTTTTGATATTGTTTATTTATTTTGTTATTTATTTTTAGTTACTTTTTACAATAAAATAAAATGGTTGATAAGTATAGTAATTGCTTTTGTGCTGGTGGTGGTTGGCTTTCCTTTGTTAGGACTCGGCTATATCCGTCATTTATTCTTGGTTTTCTTAGTCACAAACTCCTTCATCCTTACCTACTTGTTTATGCTAGTAGCATGGAAATACATATACGATTGCACAGTATTGTTGTATGTGATTCATCCATTTGACGTGGAAGATGAATGCAAGATAGACAACCAAAGGTAAGACAATAATTTTTTTTTTAATGTATAGTATTTGCTAAGACATAGATCTAACATTGTTTTTGTTGTATTAAAATCTAGATAGTTGTAGAAAAAATGCACTTAGGCAACACGGTCTTTATAGAAAGGGAGGACAAGAAGCATCACATATTTCCCAATACCCTTCTCTGTACCAAACCGATCGTAAACAACACCCGCAACCATTGCTCTTGTAATATTACTATAGAGAGAGAGGTCATATGATGCTGTTGGTTTCTGATTGGACTTGTTATGTTTGAGTTGTTTGTATTTTGTTATATTGATTGGATTTGTTATGGATTACAATACTGAATTTGTATTTATATTTTGCTTAATTTGTGCTTATATTTTGCTCAATTTGTTTTCTACAATTTATCTTTTTGTGTCTATTTTCTTCTTTAGTCAATTCTTCTATATTTATTTTTTTAAATCATTTTTCACCTATTTACTGTTTATCAAGCAGACATTACTTGAAAAAAATTAATGTTTTCTAGTCAAAAGTTTGTGAAATAGTACAAAAATGACCAGAGTGAATGTTAATTCATTTGCAATTTTTCCTTAACTTAATTAGAGAATACAATGTTTATTTTAAAGTTAGCAATTGATTGCATAATTTCTTAATTTAATTAGAAAATAAAGTAAGTATTTCTTATTAAATTTATTGGAAATTAAATGAATTAAATATTTATTTAATTTTTTTTGGTCAACTAGTTTCATTAAAAGTAACGCGGCTACTCAAACTCCAAAAATAGATGAGGGTTTACAAAGGAGGCAAAATTGCCAAACAATTTGTCAAACGGAAAGGTTAAACAAGAGATAGATTGAGAATACAATTCATCAATAAAAATCATAAGGAATCGAAAATAAGCTAAGATCCTATGAACTTTTTGACTGTATGCATCCAGAGCACTCAAAAGTACTTCAAATTCTGCAACAAAAGCAGAAAAGAGACCAAGCCGGGAGGAAGATCATTGTAATACCGACGAGCCTTGAACATCCAAATCACTTATCACAAGTGAAAATTTTGGAAAAATAAACTGTTCCATAAAGGAGATAACAAGACATACCAAATCTAACAAAACCAAAATTATTGGAGATAATAATTTCTCAAGTAACAATAATTCAACTTCCGGAAACGCTAAGAACAAGCAAGAGGGCAAGATTGAACACACGGATCTGACAAAGCAGAATGATAATAGTGAAATCTCCACAAAGAGTAAAGTTTCTCCATAAAGGAGTAAAAGTTACTCACCAAAGAAGAAGGTAAGCAAACTGAAACAATATTACCTAAAACAGAAGCTTGCTCAGCTTGAAAATATAACGACATTGCTAACTGAGAAGAAAACTTGAAATGATTCATTGGATCTGGCCTTGGCAAAATAGACTTCATCATGTCTGATGTGTCAGGGGGGTCCGGCGGCTTTGGCGGCAGAGTTTCAGAAGGAGTAGCCGTCGTGAACAGATCTGTGGCTTCCTTCACCGGATCTGTGGAGATCCGAAGAGGACCAGAAGTATCATGGCTGGGAGACTTCAGCAAAGGAGTCATGGAAGGCGAGAGGAGGACCACCGGAAGCTGGAGAATGGGCAAAATTCTGATCTAAAAACGAAACGGTGAGAGGTGGAAGCAAAGACTCCGGCTCGGCTGAAAAGAGTCTGAGAGGGGGGAGAAGCGTCCTTCAGGTAGAGATCTGGGCGGAGGAGGGTCAGTGGTGGCTGAAGTTCATCATGAGCTCGTCGCAGCGGAATCTCGGGGCTCGGACCTGAGAGAGAAGCTGCTAGAGCAAACTAGACAGAATATCCTCGTAAATATTTATTTAACTTTTTTCAAAAAATGTAGGTAAAATTATTTCTTCAATTTTAGATTTTATTTATATTTATGTTAGCCATGTGTCAAAATTTAATTGGTAAACTTTTTTATAAGTTTAAGTGTGATCAATTTACTTGATACATGTCAATATTATTTTAATTACTAACTTTGATGCATCAAATTTTATATAAATTTTTTTTTTAATTTTGATTATAATTTTCCTACTAATTTTATTTACTTTTTTATTTTATCTTTTATTTTCCTACTAATTTTGAAAGTGATGATGGTTGATTATCCTTTACCTCTTGAATGAAAAGACTTAATTTACCCTTAATAAAATTAGTTAATTAGAATAATTTTAATTAATTTTAATTTTAAGAAAGTATAAATTATATTACCAATTATTATTATGGTCGATGTTTCCAAAAATTTATATGCCATTTTCACTAATGTTAAATTGTGATATTTATTTTCACATAAACCTAATTACATATTCTTTGTGGCCAAACCTAATTAGATTAGTGAATAGATTTTGTTGGTTTATATGATCTGCCGCAACATAATAGAATAAATCAAAACCTTAATCTCTTTGTATAAATATATTACAATCATTAATCAAGTTCAGAAGAGTTGGTACACATATATCGATTGTATAACCCACAATATTGAAGAGTTGATATTATTTATCTATAGTCTTAGTGTCTTCTTCGTGGGTTATTTCTTATTTTCCTTCTGGTTTGTAATCCTTTGTAGATCGATCTGTAACATGGCGTGTTGAACAAAGCTCGTTCTATATACCATGCTTAGACTATTGGATTTTCGTATTTGATTTATTTTTTTTGTTGTTATTGCTTTTGTCGTTTTTGAGTTCCGGTGGAAATTTGGTAATCTAAACTTTTTGTTCAGCTGCATGGTTTATGCGCTCCTATCGACCAACAGGTACCTAACGAGTAACGATAAACTATTGTTTTCAGTAGTTTTATTATTTGTGGCTGAGCTCTTCCTTTAGCTCTGTGCTTGATATTTTCGTTTAGGGTTTCTAATCTCCAAGACATCACTTCAGTTCTATAGTTTCCAATGATCTTTTTATCATCATCGAGATGACAAAAAAAAAGATATGAAAAATATCTATTCAGCTTTTAAATTATGCCCTCTGTTTTTTCTCTTTTTTTTGGTTTCTAATATCTTTATATTTAAATGTTCATGTTTAAAAACTATGTTTGATTATACAGCTTTCTGACTGTACTTGCAGTGTTAAAGCCATCAAACATGTTGTTGTTGTGTAATGTTGTTCCATGGCCTGCTCATAATGAGCGATTTCAACTGTAAGTTGTTATTGCTCTTTCTTATTTCTTGTGCATTTGTTTTTGTTTCAAATGTGTCTTTTCAAGTCTTGATTTTTAAACCTGTCAGGCTTGGCCTCCTCAAGAAAAAGATTTGTCCTCCTCGAGAAGCATAAGGGTTATGTTGTTTGAGTTAAATCATCTTACCACCAAAAAGAGGACATAGTATATTTTTCTGTTTATAATATGTTGTTGAGACCTTTAACATAATATGTTTATGGATTGTTTTAATTAGATATTGTGACACATTTTCTTTTAGGGATTTGTTGATTACTGTGAAATAGCAAATATCTTAATTTTCTACAGAAACTTAACCAGAAGACGAGATTCAAGAATCCATATGAGAGTTTTACTTTAAGATGATCAATAGTAAAACAGTTGGTGGAGTTCATAAACCAATGTAATCATATCAAAACTTTACAGATATTGCTAATCATATCAAAATTTTACATATATTGCTAACCTCGTGGATTCCCTTACTCTTGGTTTTGTAAATTCTGATACAATTATGTTTTTCAGGAAATAAATAAATAAATACAACGCAGACGAGCTCATGATAATTAAGACTCAAGCCAATGAATATGTGTTCCAAAAGTGGTGGAGTGAGAAAAGAGTAAGTTTATCATTCTCTCATTCTCAATTTGTGAGTTTTCTATTTGCAATCTATTTAGACGAATTTTTCTTTAGTAAAAAATCATCAAGCTCACTGTATCACTGCAATGTACGAAGGGTCATTCGAGCCGTAGACATGTGTACTTTGCAGAAGACAGGTTACGTCTTGACAATTAATTCATTCTTTACTTTGGTGTAGCTTTCGTAATTTTCTCATTCCATGTGATGTTTGCACGTCTCCATTCTCATAACATTCAAAAGTTTGTGCTGTCAAATGATCTATAACTCTGGTTTTTCGTGATAAGAGAGGAGGATAGAGAACTGAAGTTACAAACTAGAGGCAGAAGTGGTGATATCTCTGTAATAAGCCTAAACACAGGAGGGATGATAAGCTATTTTCGTCCATATTTTGATGATGGTCTCATATTCATATTATAGAAGACTTCTCTAAACTATAAACATGTTTAGTAGTAAACTTGAAAGAGAAGATGACTTTTCGATACTCTGTTTATGTTATATTTTAGGGTCTCATTTCTAATCTCTAAGACATTTATTTAGTTCTATAGTTTTCAATTATGTTATTTATTTCTTTTCTGTTGAAGTTTTTTTAAATGTCTTTTGTTTCTCACTTTGTTCTTTATATCTTTTTTGAAATAGAAGTAAGAAGAAGGTAGAATTATGATCTCTATTTATGATATTAAAATATATTTATGTCAAGGTGTGATGATGAGGATGAATAGAAATAAATAGCAATGAAGCAGAAAAAGAGAAGTCTAGAGGAGGAATAAGAAATATCTTTTTTGTTTCCGGATCCTATCTACTTCTTCATTTTGGTTTTTGCTCTTAATCTTTTATGTTTGATAGGTAGGGAAAGTGATCAAATTCATTGATTTTGGCAGCAAAGCAGACATGTATAGATTAGTCCATTGTGACTTGATATGGTACAAGAGATAATAACATTGTATATCTCTTTGTATCTATCTACAAACTAAAGCATAGATGGTGAAGATGGTGAAGAAGGTGTTGCGTACTCAATGGTTGCTAGACATAGGGGATCGACATGTCTTGGAAAAGTAAAAGGATGCACTAGCAGAGATTGAAAAGAAACATAAGCATAAGCAGTTTTTGTTGTTGTGGATCCCAATCAGAAGAGAAAAAGCCTATATTTATATGTTTTACTCAGATAAAATTCTGAGAATTATATGTTCGACCCAATTAACCTTAGGTAATATGGTTTTTACTTAAGATTATCTTAATTGTATCAATATATCTAATATATGCAAAAATGATATTATATTCAAGAATACTTTAATAGTATCAACGTTTCAGTCTTCCTAATCATGATCTAAGGTTAAAAATTAGAATTCTTATTATATTGCTTAAGAACATTGATCCTCGAGATGATCTGTGTAATGATACAAGATTAATTGTAACACATATGACAGCATATATGATAGAGGCTAAGTTTATTACAAGAAATAGAGTTGGCCAAAAGGTCTCAAATATGTTTGTTTTACTGTCTGAAGTTCTAGGATCCCATTCAGAATGAGACGTCTACAATTTTTTACAAGTCTTGCTTTCACAATGACAATAAATAAAAGTCAGGGGTAAAGAAAGTTGGACTTTTCTTACTAATACTGGTGTTTCCACAGAGACAGTTATGTAAGTTGTCTCTAGGATAACAACGCGGTCTGGTTTGAAGATCTTAATAACTGATAGGAAAGAAAAACCAAAAAACGAACAATAAACAAGTATTAATATCTAGCTTTTCTATTTATTTGGATTTTTTTGATTTTATGTGTTTAGTTGGTTTATCTGCGAAATTTGGAATGCAATTAAGAAAATTATGCACATGTTTTGGTATATGTTTTATTGATTTTATTTTACTTCATTTGGCTTATTTAGAAAGTGCAAATAAACGGAGATCTATAATTTAGGAATCAGTATTTAATAGGACCGCTACTATCCGCACTTCTTTACAATAAAACTCGCACACTCCAAACGTTTATAAATTCTCTTATGATGATGTGATTGAACTATAGTTTGATCATTTACGTTCATAAATAACAAAAAAACTCAAATAATTTATTAGTAAATTATTTGGCCCGCGCATGGCGCAGACAGTACACCTAGTTTAGAAATATATTTTAATTATATGCGTTATAATCTTATACAGTAATTTGACACATGTTATGATCATGTAAATTAGCAATTTTAACATATCCAACTTTATATAATAAAATTATATTAAAGTGACTTGTGGTGTTTGGAGAGTCAGTCTCAAGAATTATTGAAACAAAGATTTGTGTAATTCAAATTTTGTTCTATTAACATATCGTACTAAAGTCACTAATCATGTTTGAAGAGCCAATCTTTGTAGACTCCCTGTTTTGCTCATCCCCTTCGTCAGCTGTTTGATTCGGGATACTATCACCTAGGTTTGGAATGAAACAAATATTAGAGTAGTTTCATATCTGTTCCATCATGGTTGCATTGAACGTATCTTAGATTTTATCCCCAACTACTTCTTAACATTCTTGGAAAAAGAAAGTAATCTAATGTGAATGATTTATCAATTAAAAATATTATTTCATATAAAAAGTTGGAAAAGATCCTAATTAATAATAAAAAGTATGAACTAATCTACTAATTACTAATTAGTAATAAAAATCTATAATCAAATGTATACGTAAATGGTATCATAGCAAAGAATTATAATATGTGTACACGTACATTATACAACATATATAGCTTATCAATATATCTACTAATTACTGAATTGCTTATGACACGTACATTATACAGCTTATATAGCATATCAATATGTGTCACTTCTTTTCTATCTGTATAATAAACATCAAAATATGTGTCAGCTTAATATGAAAGATTTTTTTATTCAGTGACTTGATTTTTCCAATTCAGTCAAACAATAGTAAATTTCCAAACCAAAGATAGATAAAATAACATGTGTCACTCGACTTCTGATCATTTTCAACTTATAAGGATAAGATGAAATCAATTAAAAAATTAAAAAATATATCCATAAAAAGTAAAACTACATATAATTTTAGTAAAAATGGCCAGGTACAAAGAATATCAGTTTCTATCAAAAATTGAAAAAATCACACATGATAAATTATGCAGTATGTTTTGTTATCACATATTTGAAAGATAAATTCAGTAATTTTATAACAAAATTGACACTAAACTCTTTTACTGGATACTTAGTTACAGGAAAGATGTACCATTTTATACAAATGCGCTATATTTTTTAAGTTGTTATACAAAAAAGTATTAATATCTAAGCAATTATTATAATATCATAGTCAAATTTTCAAACAGAGTCATTAGCTTGATTATACAAAGCAAACTATAGTAATATTATCATAGTCAGATGTTAAAAATCTAGACTCAAAACAGAAATATATGATTATATGGATTTTTTCTTTTACCTTCTATGTTAATTTTACATTTTGCTAGTCTGTAACTCTTCCTTTATCACTAACTTAATTGTTCCAAAATAGTCAACAAAATCTAGCACTCATAAATACAGTTTTTCATTGGCTTACAGATGGCGAAATAGATATATCTTCCAAGATTCATCGTTATATTTTCAAGACTTTGCACTCATACATCTACAATTCCTCATCCTCTATATAACAATGAGATCAAAACGAAGAACTCGTAGTCATCAGTTCTAAACACACAAGAGAGAATCTATCAAACTAAACACGTACGAGATATAAATGGAGACCGTAGTATTGATTGTGGGAGCTGGACCTGCCGGTTTAGCAACATCGGTTTGTCTAAACCAACACTCCATCCCAAACGTGATCCTCGAGAAAGAAGACGTCTACGCATCACTTTGGAAGAAACGAGCCTACGATCGTCTCAAACTGCACTTGGCCAAAAGATTTTGCCAGCTTCCTTTCATGCCGCACGGCCCTGATGTTCCAACCTTCATGCCCAAAGACCATTTCATCGACTACCTTGATGCATACGTTACCCGTTTCAACATAAACCCTAGATACAACCGCACCGTGAAGTTCTCAACGTTCGATGTGTCCAATAACAAGTGGAGGGTGGAGGCGGAAAACACGGTGACCGGAGAAACCGAAGTGTATTGGTCAGAGTTTCTGGTGGTTGCGACCGGAGAGAACGGAGATGGGTATATTCCGGAGGTGAAAGGGATTGAAACTTTCCCCGGAGAGATTGTGCATTCGAGTCAGTATAAGTACGGTCGTGATTTTAAAGGTAAAAACGTTCTTGTGGTCGGAGGTGGAAATTCTGGTATGGAGATTAGTTTTGATCTTTGCAACTTCGAAGCTAATACAGCCGTTCTCGTTAGAACTCCGGTAAGTATATAATTAGCGTTGCTTTTGCCTTTTAATTATTATGTTTTCCTGTATGCATGAACGTTAAAGATCTTCTCTTGCATGTAGACATGGTATAGAATGTAGATGATTTATTCTAATAAGAAATTACTGATATGCCTCTCAACATGATAATTGTTATTTTGTCCATTCATGCATGGTTAAACGAATATTTCGTCAACCGTTCCTTTGGTTCAATTTTCTCTTGTGGTCATCAGTCTTATTGTAAATCTGTGCAGAGACACGTGTTGACGAAAGAAGAGGTGTACTTGGGGATGTCATTGCTGAAGTATGTTCCGGTGAAGGTGGTTGACACATTGGTGATGTTGACGACTATGGCAAGGTTATTTGTGTACGGAGATGTTTCCAAGTACGGACTCCTCCGACCGAAACAAGGTCCTTTTGCCACCAAACTCTACACAGGAAAATCTCCTGTCATCGATGTCGGGACTGTCCAAAAAATTCGCGACGGCAAGATTCAGGTACCTTCCATTGTCCATAAATTTTTACTTTCATTCCTAAATCTATATTTATTTTGTTCATTTTTTTGTCATTTATGTTGTTATTAAACCATCCGAATAAATATATTTACCTTTTATATATAGTTGCCCACTATTACTATTATTTTGATTAAACATTTAACATAATTTTTTTTGTTTTTAATATCATTCACCTATTTTACATGTACAATTTGCTCATTTTTTTCTACAATTATTTATTTTTACTTTCATTCCTAAATCTATATATCTTTTGTTCATTTTTTGTCATTTATATTGCTTGTCAAGTGATCATTACTTTAACTAATTATGGTTGCAATATTAGGTTATCAATGGTGGCATAGGATGCATCAAAGGCAAGACCTTGACATTCGAAAATGGATTGAAACAAGATTTCGATGCGATTGTGTTTGCCACTGGTTACAAAAGCTCTGTCTGCAATTGGCTAAAGGTATAACATAAGTATCCCATAAATCTTCTACTCATGACACAAACTAAAACCAGCTTAACTAATAATCGATTATATTTAACATGACATTGATGGTGTTTTGTGAAAAAATGTGAATACAGAACTATGACTACGTGATGAAGGAAGATGGTTTCCCCAAGAAACCAATGCCGAAGCATTGGAAAGGAGAGAAGAATCTTTACTGTGCTGGATTTTCGAGGAAGGGAATCGCCGGAGCCGCTCAAGATGCTATGGCTGTGGCTGACGACATCAAATCCATCTTGGCAACTACCAAATGTTGAAGCTATATATTTTTGTTAGCAGTTTGAACCAAAAAAAAAATGAGAAAGTAGAAGAATTGTGTTGGTTTTGCTCTAGTTTAATTTTAAAATAGTGTTTTCAATCTAGAATTTGAGATGATTTGTACTAAATCACAAATCGTATGTTATTCAAATTGATTTTTTCAAAATAAAATAAAATTTAATTGAACTAATGATATAATAATGTATCAATCCACTTTTATTAAAAAAAGCAAAGTCAGACACTTTTAGTGAGTTTGATAGTCAAAATTACAATCAACTCATGATTTAATAGAAATTTCATACAATCTTAATTACAAATCATAACAATGTGGTTAATTCACCCAAATATTTGGTTCAATACACCCTTCAATTCAAACTCAGGAGCTAGAACTAATTAATCATTTCCCAATGAATTCTCCAACCACAATATGTTGTCTCCCACCTTAAATCGGCCAATTTTAAAAAGTCATGATGATATTCACATTTTTACTTTTATATAATGTTTGTTTGACTCATAAATCCTTTAACAACAAATATAATATAATGTTTGACTCGATCGTAAAAAAAAATGTTGACCCGGTAAATAACACAAATTGTTTTTTAGTCTATCTTTAAAAGAGAATCCCAATTAAAAAAATAATCTTTACTTACTGTGTTATTTACCTAATATACCATTAAACTTTTCTTAGATATATAAAATTTTATTAAATCTATTCTTTTCATTAAATCATCAAAAACCTAATTTTTTGTTATTTTAAAGGGGCCCAATGTTTTGTTTTCTTTTTTGTTAAAGAATCTATTTTTTTGTTTAAAATTTTAGAAATATCTTATTTTCTTTGTTTTCATTTCGAAATTTATCAAAAAAATATATAGAAAATGCCAAAAAATAAAAAAATAATATTACAGAAGAAGAGTTACAGAAAAAAAGAACGAAAAAAATAAAGAAAAAGAACAAAGAAAAATAATAGAGAAGAATAACATAGAAGAAAAATGGGGGAAAAAAGAGTAACAAAAAAATAACAAAGAAGAAAATCAATACAAATAAAAAGAGAGGAAGAAGAGAGAAGACTAACGTAAAAGAAGAACATAAAAAAAATTGGAGAAAAATAAGAAGAAGATGAAGAAGAGAGAAAGAAAAAGAACAATAATAAAGACTTAGAAAAAGAAGAAGAACAATAAAAAAAGAATAAGAGTGAAGAAGATAAATAAGAAGAGAAAAATATTAATATATTATCTTCTTATTAAAAATCAAACACACTTTTATTATATAATTTTTTTGACTAAAAAACATAAATACGATTTAAAAAAAAATATACAATTAACCGTTCAAACTTTAAATTCTAATAGTTAAAATTCAAAAATATTATTAAAAATATAAAGTTTAATCTTACAAATATAACTCTGCACAAATTAAATAGATACTTAATATGTAAACGTGTTGATTAATATACAAAATTGTATTAAACATGTGTTTACGTTAGAAAGAATATATTTTTTTATATACATAGTTTAAAACATCTTAGTATTATTTGTAAATTAACTATTTTTGTTAGAATGTTGTAGAACCATAAAATCATATTTTCAAGTTGTATTAACAAAACTAACATTTTCTAAAATTATTTTTTTTAAAGGAAAAGAAAAATTAATTAACTTAACTTATTACTGAATGATCCATTATTTGTTGGAAGAAAAATGAAAAAGAAGTAGGCCTTAGAGATAATAAAAAGGGCTCACTAGTGACGATTGTCACAGACTCACAAGGCCGGACAGAATAAGACACAAAAACCAAGTTGCAAAAAGCCGAGCCTACTAAAGCCCACTAAAACTCAGCCCATTTGAGAGAGGGATGCGGTACTCCGCTTTGACCTACCTATTTTCCAACCGTTGCCTCTTATTAAAAAAAAATCATTCCATAAAAACAAGGAAATCAGACTTCTACCACGTGGACGGCACAGATCAAATAACACGCGCGGACAGACAGCCACTAGATGGAAAAAAGAAAAGGACCATTTTAACCCCAAACAGAATCAAAATGACTATATATACAACTCTCTAAAACCCTAAACTGAAAATATCTTACGCAGCTGTCTAGGGTTTTTGCCTCTCTCCACTCTCAAACCTAGCAGTCGCTCTTCTCTTTTCGAAATTCTCCATGGGCAAGTCTGCTAAGAAATCCGCCACTAAAGTAATCTTCTCCTCCTTCTTGAGTTTCTTCTTTGTTCTTCTTCTGCTTACTCTGCCTCGAACCTCTGTTCCTGTTTGATGTCTCACGAATTTAACTAATTTTTGTTCTGTTCTTCGTATTTTCAGGTTGAGGCAGCACCTGCTGTTATCAAGGATTCGAAACCTTTGAAGAAAGGTAAGAACTTTAGCTTTCTTATATGTTTTGACCTCTGACGTCTGGTTCTCTTTCTCTCGGTTACAAAATGAGTTTTAAAGTTCGCATTTTTGCATCTGTATTACTCGGTACTTGTATGTTTGATGGATTAGGTTCGTTAATTTGGTTAACCCATTAAAGTTTATAATTTTGGTGATGGGTATTGTGATATATATTAGTAATTGAATACAGTAATCGTGCTTAGTTAATAGTATTTGAAATTAATCGATTGCTGAATCTTGGTTTTTGATGCTGAAGTTGCTGTTTGAATTGAATCTGTAGGTAAGAGAGAGCCTGAGGATGACTTGGATACCAAAGTGAACCTTAAGAAGCAGAAGAAGGACGTGATTGTTGCCGTTCAAAAGGAAAAAGCTGAGAAGAAGGTGCCGAAGAAGGTGGAGAGCTCTGACTCATCAGATTCTTCAGATTCTGAGGAAGAGGAGAAGGTATTAGCTTTGAATGTCTTAAAAATCTCATGATTGGTTTGTTGGTTGATAAACTTAGATAGGAGTGTATCTATTGCTGTGTTTACTGTATATCTCAGAGTACTTATGTAGTTAATTGTTTATGTTCATTGAGATTTTATCGTAGCACTGTGTTCTTGTTTGCAATGTTGAAACAGGCTAAGAACGTTCCTGCCAAGAAGGCTGCTGCTAAGTCTGCTTCAAGCAGTGATGACTCATCTGACGACTCTTCAGATGATGTAAGAGCTTTGTTGCTGTTTATTGCTTTTGTTGTCAGTTTTGTACCTTGTAAAACATGTTGCTGAAACCTTCTGTTCTTTTGTTTTTGTAGGAACCTGCACCCAAGAAGGCCGTTGCTGCTACCAACGGAACTGTTGCAAAGAAATCAAAGGATGACTCATCTTCTGAGGATGAATCTTCAGATGAGGTTAATTTTTTGATAGTTATTCCCAAATTTTAGCTTGTTCTTCTTTGTCGTTGTGCTAACGTTCTCGGCTTTTCCAATTTGTTTCAGGAAGTTGTAGCTACCAACAAGCCAGCTGCTACTGCTAAAAAGGCAGAGAGCTCCTCCTCTGAGGAGGAATCTTCTGATGAGGAACCTGCGAAGAAACCTGCTGCAGCTAAGCCTGCTGCTAAAGATTCTTCCTCGTCAGATGATTCATCAGATGAATCTGAGGATGAGAAGGTATAAACATTGTTCTCGTACTTGTACTATCTTCAATTTTGTGTGTTTACTTGAAATGAATATCTGATTGCTTCTTTATGAATGTAGAAACCTGCCGCTAAGAAGGCAGCTCCTGCTGCTGCCAAGGCTGCAAGCAGTTCTGATTCATCTGAGGAAGATTCGGATGAGGTTAGCATCAGTTCTTTAATGAGGACCCAATACGCAGCTATTGACGTCTTTTATTTGATTCATTGTTGTTAACCATGGATTGGTTGATTTTTGCAGGAAAGTGAAGATGAGAAACCTGCCCCCAACAAGGGTAAGGCTGATGCCAAGACTGCTGCTAAAAAGGAGAGCAGCAGTGGTGAGTCTAGCGACTCTGATGAATCCGAGAGTGAAGAAGAGAAAGAAACCCCAAAGAAAAAGGTCCGAGCATTGCTTCCTCTCTCGTTGATTTTTAATTGTATATTGTTTTTTACACTTTCTGGTTGCTAATATACTCCATTCTTCTGTTATGTATCAGAACACCGATGTTGAAATGGTGGATGCTGAGCAGAAATCATATGCAAAACAGGTAATGAGTCTTCTGGTAAAGTTGTAGTTGCTCTAATCTCTTTCTGAATCATGCTTTGACGTTAATTTTGTGGATCTTTCTTTGGCCTTCAGCCAAAGACACCAGCTACTCCTGCTACTGGTGGATCAAAGACACTCTTTGCTGCCAATCTCCCATTCCAAGTTGAAAGATCAGATGTGTAAGTAGCACAAACATTATTTCTCATTCTTTGGTCATGTCTTTCATGACCTGATAATATTTTATCCTCCGTTTACAGTGAGAACTTCTTCAAAGAAGCTGGTGAAGTTGTTGATGTTAGATTTGCTACAGACAGAGAAGATGGCAGGTTCAAGGGGTACGGACATGTCGAGTTTGCAACTGCTGAAGCAGCACAGAAGGCCTTGTCGGAATTTAACGGTAGACCTTTGCTCGGTCGTGAAATTCGTCTTGATATTGCTGTAGAGAGAGGCGAGAGACAGCCATACACTCCACAAAGCGGGTAAGTTGGTTTCACTGTCTATGAGAGGTTGTTTGTGTAACATGTTCCATGTGTGTTGATATTATCCTCTCCGGTAAATATATTTTGCAGAAACTTCAGAAGCGGTGGTGGTGACGGTGCTGCTAAAACAATTTTCGTCAAGGGATTTGACTCTTCTCTTCCTGAGGACGATATCAAGAGCGCATTGAGTGAACATTTCGCATCATGTGGAGAGATCACTAGGGTTTCTGTTCCCATTGACCGTGAGACCGGTGCTTCTAAGGGGTTTGTGACTTTCCTCGACTCTGTTGTTGACCGGTTTGTGAATTTTCTAAGATGCTTACTGAACATATGTGGTTTCTTGTTTTTCGTATTGCAGATTTGCTTACGTTGACTTTAAAGAAGGCACAGAGAAGGCGTTGGAACTTAACGGTAGTGAAATGAGTGGATGGAATCTTGTAGTTGATGAGTCTAGGCCGAGGGATAACGGTGGTGGAAGGAGCGGAGGATATGGTGGAAGGAGCGGAGGAAGAGACGGTGGTCGTCGTGGCAGAGGAGGAAGAGACTTTGGTGGTCGTAGTCGTGGCAGAGGAGGAAGAGACGGAGGAAGAGACTTTGGTCGTGGTCGTGGAAACAGACCTAGTTTCACTCCTCAAGGTACTTAAAAATTTGTTATTTGGTTCTTTGAATAGATATGAAAGTGTTAAGTGGACTTCTCTCGCTAATGCTTTGTTTTGTTTCTGTCACAGGTAAGAAGACTACCTTTAACGACGAGTAGAAGCTTCTGTAGAAGAAAAGACTCTTCTTTATGTTCTTAACTTGTGATACTTCGCATCCTTATATTATTGCATCAGTTTTTTTTTTTTTTTGTTGCTCTTTAGTTACTCTTTTGTTTTGTCTGAACCTTAAATTTTTGTCTGAATATTAAAGTAGCTCAATTTTGAGTGCTTTTGGTGTTGAATTTTCATTAGTAATTTACTAAAGTTATATCCTTCTCCGATGCAATTGATTTTTTTTTTGATCAAAACGATTCAATTGATTAAGTAGAAAAACAATATCTCTCAAGGGATACAAATTTACATTTCTCAGATTTAGTCTCAACTTTGTTGGCTACTTTCATATATTTTCCACTGAAAACCGTAGAAACCAAAAGTAATTTAGTTGTTACAAGGAAGATTAGTTTGTAGTTAGTAGTAACTCAAGACTGAGACTTTAGCTTGAGGACCACCTTGTACATAGACAAACTCATAAGCTTGTCCTGCTTTCAAAGTTCTTTGCCACTGAGGAAGCTGGTAAGTATTCTTTTGACCTGTTGGGTTTACACCCCATATTGGTCCTGAGAGTTCTTCAATCTTAAGCTTCAGATCCGATATCTGTTTCTGAGAGTTGTTCTTGATGATCACTTTGTGTCTATAGTACCTCGTGTTCCAGGCCATCCAATTAGCAGTTATCGAATGAAGAAACTGGATCGGTGCACCTGATTGTTTTGGACTGTATGTTGTTGGTGTTGCTTTGTAAGATGAAGCTGTAAGAATTTAAGAGCATCAGAGGAACTGCTCAAAAGTTTCAGACAGAGAGAAGCTGTAACTGTAAGTAAAACAAAGATCAAACCTGGTGGTTTTGTTGTTTGGTAAGGTTTAGGAGATCCTCCTCCATAAGATCCTACAACCATTTCATTACATTACTTGATGATGATGAGAATAAGAGTAATTATGAGCACAAGGTTTGTTATAGTCCACTTACCTAATTTTCCAGAGAGTTTAGCGAATAGACCAACGAGTGGAGCTGTTCCAGACAAAGTTGGTTCTGACTGCTCGTAGTTTGTCCGGTCATCGGAATAGTAATCATTCTCGTCTGGTCCACCAACAAGAGCACCATGGATAACATTAGGATCAGCTTGAGATCTTTTGTACCAAGACTCAAATCCTTGAGAACAATACACAGAAGAACGTAGATCAAAGATGGAAGCTATTGAAGCGCCTCTATGGTGAACTCTAATTGGATATTTCGGTCCGTATCCAACTACGTAACTCATTCCTTGACGATTCTTTCCAAGAATGTAATCAGCCTGCAAAATGAACAAAAACGTTGTTGTTACTTCATCTGAAATCAACAAGAAGATGGTTTTGGTTTCTTGAAAGATTTGGTTTACCTGAGATTTAGCAAATTCAAGAAGTGCTTGAGGTGGAACCGAACCATCAGGACAGTTGAGTTTAGCATTTGCTGCAGAGAGATAATCAGAATAAACCGCAAGAAGAAATGAAGCAGCAGATGCGTATTGTAGATTGTTCCACTCTCTAACATACATCAAACCACCTGAAATTTCATCATCAAAAGGCTTTTAGTAACTACTCAAACTTGCAGTGATTAGAATATTTTGGTTTAGATGTGCTTTATTAACTTACCAGGAGTTGTTTGAATGTTGTAGCCACCATTCTTCTTGAGACAAGCACAAGTGAAGTAATCAGCTTTCATCTGATATTGCTTTAGTGTCGAAGTATACACACCGCCTTTCCCTTCTAACAGGATCTATACACATACATACACAAATCAAACAAGATTCAAGATTAGTAACGAAACTGTGAAAAAACATTCTTGAAACAAACCAAACTATATAAGTTTATACCTTGGTGAGAAGGACTTGAACACCGGCGTATTTGTTATCCCAAGAGAACTCTTTCATTCCCCAGCCGGTTCCGCCCATGTAACCGGCATTGTCCATTGCATATTTCAAGTAGTACTGGTCTCCGGTTGCACGGTGCAGCCAAGCCGCAGCCCAAAGAAGCTCATCCTTCAAGGTATTATACATTACTACATTAGAGACGTTTCCGTATTGAAACAACATTCAGTGAAAGAAGAAAGTTAGAGAGAGAAGGAAAATGGAGAGGTCAGATCAAAGGGGTTATACCGAGTAACCAGATGACATGTAGAAAGCTTTTGCATTTGGGATTGAATCAGTGTATAATCCTCTGTACTTGTCAGCAAATGAGAAGAGCTGAACAACACAATGACAAGTTTCAAATGCTCAGAAATCTAAACCAAACCGGGTTCATAACTACTATACTGATGGACAGTGAGTGGACATATAAACTGAACCGGATTCATATACCAAAGGTGAACCGAAATTTATTTATAAACCAACTCGGTACTATTATGACCATTGACCAAACTCAAGTTTAGTGTGACCGAATCAAATAAACCAAATTTCATCAGGTGTACCATAGCAAACCGTGTACTCAAAACTATTGACCATTAAATGTAGAAAACAACCGAATCAAACCAAACCAAAACCGAACCATATAACCAAATACTCCCCAAAACCATAGAGCCTAAAATTTGAAAAACTAAAAAGAGGAAGAAGAAAAACGAACCTCTTTGGCATGAGATAAGAGGGTGGCAGAGTAAGAGGAGTTAAATGGCTTGAAAGCCAAAGAAGCAGCGGCTAAAGCAGCAGCGGTTTCACCGGCTAAGTCTGAGCCAGGGTGGTACTGGTCAAGCTTATAAGCTGTTCTTGAAGTGGTCATGTCCTCGGCTCGCTCCCAACAGTAATGGTCTGATTCTCCATCTCCAACTTGACCCCATAGAACATTAGGCTGAGGATGGGCCTTGATGAAGTAATCAGTTCCCCATTTGATTGACCACAACGCTTGTTGCATCTGGTTCAAACCGGATAGCTCTTTTCGGTTATCGACCGCAGCCCACGATAGCATTGTCACTGAAAAAGCCATTGGTAAACCGAATTTCACATGGTCTCCTGCATCATAATATCCTCCCTCCAAGCTCACCTGATGAACATATACAATCCTCAATATCATTTAAATAAAATGATTAAATTAAAAAAAGATTGAAATTAGCAGCACTTCGACATTTCTTACAAAATCTAGTAAATCTTTGTTCTTATATCTTTTTTTTTTGTATTTAAGATTATTTTTATAAACTCTAAGAGCTATTTTGTGGCCAATAACACGTATTTGATGGTGTGAATCTAGGTAGTTACATAATGACTACACAAACACAAACATCTAGGCTATACTACAATCATGAACATGTGCTAATTTTGATAATAGATTTGCATTGGATGATATTGAAAGGGAATTAACATTTTTGGACATATATATATGGCTTGTATGAATCCGCCTATAAGATAAGTATTGTGTGTGTGTAAATGGACTTACGCCTTGAGCAAGACCATCCTTGAGACCAGAATGGCTACGCCATTTGACACGTTGAGCAGCCGGCAACTTCCCTGACCGTTGAGCCTCAAAGAACAAGAAGGTCTTGTCAAGGGCATTTGCGTAATTATAATACTCCGCTGCCGCCGTTGCTGCCGCGAGAAGAACGGTCAGTAATAGGCTTGCGCCGAACAAAGACCCACCGAACTTCTTCATTTCTCTCGATCAATATTAATTTTAAGTTAACTTCTATCTCTCAAGAAATGTTCTTTGTTCAGAACTGTAATGTGAGTTAGTATATATATAGAGAGAGAGAGATTGTGTCTGTTGAGTTTGGTGAGAGATAGGAATGTAGAGAATCAAATAGCTAGGTATAAATTTGTCTGAACAATCATTTTCTTTGTCTTTATTTGTGTTCGTGTGTGTTGTGTGCGTTTTGATAATAGTTGTGGCATTCACGTTTTGTTAGAGCTTCTCACGTTGTACCTTGAGACTTTTGTGTACATAAAGCTGAACCAATACCATTTTGACCAAAAAAAAAAAGCTGAACCAATATGACTTACCACGTGTATCTCTTACTGGCCGTTTGATGAACGTGATGTTGACCATCTATCTGAGTAGAAATACGATGAATGTATCGTTTCTTATTAAAAAAACTAAAAAATGTTAAGAATAATATTTTGGTTGATTTTTGCTATGGTGTCAACGGACAAAATTTCCATTCGTGGCATTCACATCTTGCAATCCTTTTTTCTTTTGTCTTTTTATTTAAATTATATTAGACCCAACTCCAACAATATTAAACTTCATCCTGGCTTGGCGTTTTTTTTCCTGTGTTATGTTTAGCCGTTGGTCATGTTCACAATATTAGCTGGTGACAAAAGAAAATAGCGAACGATACGTTTTGTTGTTTGTTTTAATATCCGTAACAAGAAACGACAGCCACATTATTTTCGTTTAGTTGTCAGTCCTTCATCGGTTACATTTTGTCGACTAGCAACTAATTAAAATGTTAAATGCTAGATGAAGATCTATGTATTAAGTGTGTATAAAGAAAAGACACGTTCTTAATCTAGTTTTATATATATTTCTCTCCCGAAAACAAAAGACACATAAAGTAGTTCCCTTATGTGAATTGATCCACAAATTTCAGATGGATATTGTCTTGCTAGATATCAGAAGCTTCATGGTCAGAGTCGGTCTCAGAGCCAGTGAGACGGTAATCGCCAACGAGACTCATACGTTCCGTTCTCAAGTCCACACTTCTTCTAATGATAGCACGGCGCTTACGAACCAGGCCGTCTCTCAAGTCCTGATCGTATTTAATGAAGAAAGTTGCATCTTTAAACCCCTTGAGTCTCTCATTCGGCAGCTGCACGTTTTCCTTAGTTTCCACCATCACCTCCACAATCTTCAAATCGGACAGCTCAGGCTGCAACAGATTATCCGACACTTGTTATGAAAACGAATCCCACGCACGAATTATCTGTAATTTTCTAATTAGACAAGAATCATACATATTGGCAATCCGACGATTGGTTGAAACGAATCCGAGTTCCAAATATAGGCGAATCCAGTCATTTTCTTTCAGCTCTGGTTCCTGCACCTGCAAAGCAAACATGCACTACCGGTCACTTAAAGCATCTTACTTACATAACCAAGTAAATAACTATACATCAAAAAAATTATATATATATATATTTTCAATCTCACTACGTAAAAACGGTTTTTATCAGCCAAAGCATCATCTTTGGGCCATTCAGGCACACTAACATTGTAGAACCGAGGTGCAGTTATATCATCCCAAAGCGTACCCTTAGGCCCTAAATAGATAAATACATTAATCAGGAAAGAATCTATACAACAAAAAGTCCTCATGACTGCTATCATAATTAACGATCCAAATAACCTGTATCTTTAACTCTAGCAACATAACACTTGACATTCAACTTATTCCATTGTCTTTCGTGAATACTTGTCTGAAAAGTTACGAGGGAACGGGTAGCTGGATTCCTTGCAATCAAAGTTATATTATACGAGAAAACGAAGATACTACCTGTCCTATTGTATTTCTTTATACGATGAAGCTGCAAGTTGGTCCCCTGAGACATGAATAAATACAGCAAAACCAAATTGGGATTAACACACACACACGCACAAAGAAAGAAGAGTAAAAACGCATAGATCAAGAAGAGAGTATAGCTTTCATCACCTGAATCATATTGTAACGATGAAGGCCCATCTTAGCATAGAGGGTGAGTAAAAGGGGATGCGCTTTGGATTTAGGCCTGAAAATACTCATTACACGATGGGGATAAGGTCCCATGCACCAAATGATCCACATCGAACCCCTAAGACACATTAGGGATAGCAATTGGACAAGAATCAAGATGATCGAAATATCAAAACCAAGAAAGCCTAAGACACATGAGGGATAGCAATTTCACACATGTATTTATTTACCTTATCTTCCAACAACATGAGATTGTATAACCCTAATTCCTTTTTTTGGGACTGAATTGACCCACCACCCCCACAAATTTCATTGTTTTATTGTTTCCACTCCTAATTCCTAACACTAAACATGTCAAATAGAGGAATTAAACTATAGGAAAATTAGAAAAATAAAGAATCAAGAAGGTAGCCAGAACAAATAAGGTTTAGGACAAGAATCAAACTGATCAAAAACAAAGAAAGTACACTCCAGAATGTTCATCACCAATTTCACAAAAACAAATACCCTAAAATCATAAAAACTGGATCATTAACTTAGCGCAACTGATACAAGGCTCATCACAGTGGATCCAAGTCAAGTCACTTCCAGAATTTAAGATCAATTAAGATTAAAGTATTGTCCATTTTTTTCAGGGCTTCCAACAAGAATCCGTGTGAACTAGAGACTGCAAGAACAAAAGGACAAAAGACAAAACTTTGTTTTCTTGTTCTTCAAGGAACAAAACACATTTAGATTGTTAGAGTATAAACTCAGGATATAGGGTCACCAAAGGGGATACAAATCCAGTTCACACTTGAAAACTGGCGCAACATAAAGTTTGATAACTCAATTCAATCTAGAAATTCCTTTGATATAACTTTAAAGCCTCCTTCTGTCCATATTGTTTTCTCTGTTCGTGGTGTAGATAGGCTTCAGTATCGGTCATATATTCTCATGTGGTGTAGAGAGTCTGGACTTGTATGTTGTCTTGATGAAATACCTGTTTATTTATGACTGTCCCCTCTTTTTCCCAATCCCAAACTTTGTTTTCTTCAAAATTTACATCTTTTGACGCTTTCACTTTGATTGTATGCAGAACACCTCTGCCCCATGGATTATAGCTAACGCTTTCACTTTCACTTCACTTCTAGCTTTTTTTGTTATGGTGTCGACGGACAAAATTTCCATTCGTGGTATTCACATCTTGCAATCCTTTTTTTTCTTTTGTCTTTTTATTTAAATTATATTAGATCGAAGTCCAACAACATATTAATGCATCACCATTTGATAATACTGATGGCTTATTTTGGATTATAAAGTAACGACGGCAGATGAATGGATTAACGTTTAAATACTAAAGATGAACGTTTTAAATTTTTGTTTTATTAGTCTTTCGCCCCTATACCTAAGTCAGACGAACGATTTGCACGTCAGTATCGCTGCGGGCCTCCACCAGAGTTTTCTCTGGCTTCGCCCTGCTCAGGTATAGTTCACCATCTTTCGGGTCCCGACAGGCATGTTCACACTCGAATCCTTCTCTGAAGATCAAGGTCGGTGGGCAGTGCATCCGCGAGGGATCCCGCCAATCAACTTCCTTGTGCCTTACAGGTTTACTCACCCATTGACTCGCACACATGTCAGACTCCGTGTTTCAAGACGGGTCGAATAGGGATCCCACAGGCCGACGCACTGTGAAAAATCAAAACTCCCGCAATGAGAATGAAAATAAACACAAAAAACAATATTATAGTTGGGTTTTATGAATAAGATATGGAAACACATTGATATGGACACGAATAAAGTTGTGTTTTATAAACAGTATATTCATATCATATCTATTTCATTGTGTCCATATCACTGTGTTTCTCTATCTCTTTTTCTTTCTCTTGTTGTACTGATATATAACTGATATGTTTTAATTCATTGTGTTTGTCTATTTCAGTTATACTGAATTCTATCAGTTATTCACGATATATTTTAAAGTTGTGTTTTATGAATAATAATGTAAGGAATTTTGTTTTCCAGAAATATTAGAGTTTAACAGAACATTTAAAAAAAAACTTGAATTCATTTATTTTAAAATTGCTAAGTATTCAAAAACTAAATTTAATCAGACTCTCAAAATGAAATGAAAACCCTTAATAAACGAACCACAATAACCAAAACCGAACTAAATAAATCCACGGCTAGACCGCCATAACCGAGTCATATGGTTTTCCATTCTGTAACCGAGGCAACTACACTAGACCAAAAACCGTCAAAGACAGAATCGAAACTGTCACTAAACCGGTATCAATGAACCGAGTTGTTTTTCTTAAGGCGTGGTTTTTCTTGGTCTTGTGAGTGGAAGCCTCCAGAGAGGAAGAAGGTGGAGGAGATTGCGGCGGAGATTCGACCTCCATGACTTTGATGATCATTTTCTGACCCTTTTCACAATGGCCTGCGACGCCGCTTATGAAGTAGAACAAACCTGGCCGGTCCAATTTGAAAACCGTATCATCGTGGTTTGAGTATAATTTCGGTTTGGTCGTCTGGCATTTCTTGTACTCTTCTTCTGATACCACCAAAACAGAGTCTTTCTTGTACTTGAAACCTTCCACAGTAAAGACAGCAATAAATAAAATTCAGTATTTGCATTTACGATGATCATAACTGATATAGTTTACGAAAATACTTACGGATGGTGTCGCCAACTTTAAACCGGTTCTTGGAAGCCCACTGGTTAAACATATTTTCATCGTCACTAGATTGTGGTATGACCCATCCGTTTTCTCCTCCAGCTTCAAATTCAGTACAAGACACATATGAGGATACAAAAACCAATACAAAGAGTGAAAGGAGAACAATCTTTGGTGCACCCATTTGTTGCATCACTTTGGACTAATGTTAAGAAAAAAAACGAGAAGTGTTGTGGCTTTTTATTTCTGCCTTGTGGTTTTTGAGGTTTGAGTATAAGAAGCGTGAGAGTGTTAGCCAGATTTATTAGTTTGGCTTGTCCACAACTTGAGGGATATATAATAGATTTGGCATTGACTTATTATTTGCTAAATTATTTTTTAAAAAATATTTGAATAAGAAACATGAATTTGGTTGTAGTAGTTGAGGAATATCTGTTGCTCTGAGGATTTTGCGTATAGATTCTGGATTAATTATATAACGTGTTAAATAAATCGATGATCATTTGTAATTTCGGATTTTCGAAAGAAATTTGAAATGTTTGGGTATTTTATTGACTACATAAGAACTAAAGGATCTATTCATAAAATACATAAATTACCCAAAAATCTTGAAAATTGCTTATTTAATTCCTCAAATATTTGCAATCTGTAAATTTATTTCTCAACTATTGTGTGTGCAGATTAAATTTTCAACTTAGTGTTGACTTTGCAAATTTAGGCATGAAAAAGTCAACATTAACGAGGAAAACGGAAACGTTATCGTTGACTTTTCCCACTCTAATTTTGCAAGGTCAACATAAACTAAAGAAATTAATGTGCCAAACTAAAAGTTGGAGAATTAATCTACACAATTAAAAAAACTTGGGGAATTAAATGATCATTTTTTATTTAAAAAATTATAATTATTTTCATAAATCATAATTACTTGTAGAATACCATCAAATACTTTTTTTTATTATATTATGTTTCTAATAATCATAAATCATAATTATTTATAGAATACAATCAAATACTTTTTTAAAAAATATTATTTTTATTATATTATGTTTTCTGTCTAAAATTTTATTGATATTTAATAAATATTACAAATTAGTATACATAACGTTCGAAAAACAAATAACTTAAGCAGATAAATGTGTCCTTAAAAATTTCAAGACTCGCGATGAGAATTGAAAATATGGGAATCCGATAACAACGAAACGGATTTGGAAAAATCTTTTCTCAAACTCTCAGTAATTTGGGTAAAGATCAACTTCAAGACATATATTTTGGATAATTTTGAGATAAATGATATATATATATATATATTTCTTTTTGAATAGATAATTAAAGTATATGATTTCATACCCTTTTTCGTACCTATTTGAATAAAATAAATAGTCCCGATTGATAGGAGAATAATCATTGTTTGATATCAAATACTACCATATACTGAGAAAGATAGATGAAAATAAGTGACTTTCATGAAAATTGTTTCTTCTAATAGAGTGACCATACCAATGACCGTTTGATAGGAGAATAATCATCGATTGATAACCAAAAAATTTGCCAGTAAAGAAAAAAATCACCGGAATTAAATATACATAATTTTTAAATTTTATTCATAACACATAAAACATAATATAATGAAAACAATATTTCTTAAAAAGTTATTTAATGGTATTCTACAAATAATCATGATTTATGAAAATAATTATAATTTTTTAAATAAAAAATGGTCATTTAGTTCCTCAAATTTTTGTTATTTTTCAGATTAATTTTCCGACTTTCAATTTGACAAATTAATTCCTCAAGTTTATGTTGACTTTGCGAAATTGGACTGAGATATAAAGTCAATGGTAATATTTCCGTTTTCTTTTTAAATGGTGACTTCTCTTATGCCTTTAATTTCTCGAGTTTATGTTGATTTTGTAAAATTAGACTGAGATATAAAGTTAACGGTAATATTTCCATTTTCTTTTTTAATATTTATTTTTCTTATGTATAAATTTGTAAAGTCAATACTAAGTTGATAATTTAGTATGCATATATGATAGTTGGGAATAAATTTGCCTATCGCCAATACTCGAAGAATTAAATGAACAATTTCCCCGAAAACCTTTGGATTTATTGTCGAATCTGAAGATGGCCAAAACGACATGAAGTTCCATCGTTTTTGGTGTTGTTCCCGTCAACCCCATTCTAAATCCCACTCGTTCACCTGAGCAGCCACGACGAAGATGGAGGCGAGTCCGTAAGGATCTAGGGTTAATAGGATTGTGGCAGGACGAGATTAGAAGGAGGAAGCTGCGTTTTTTCTTGAAGGTAGATCAAATATGGCACAAGACTCGGAGAAGAGATTCCACCAGATCATGGAAAAGCTCTTTACCCCATCGAAATCTCAGTTTCCTTCTTCCTCCACCAGGTCAGTTTTTGATTTTCATTCTACCTTCGTTTATAAGTTTAAACAATAACGCGACTAAAAAACTCCAAATGAGTTTCATGGATCGATTCATCCTCCGTAACTTAGTTTCCAGACTCTTACAATCGTTGAATCTGATTTCTAGAGGCTAGGGTTTATGACATTGCAGTAGCAACAAGATCAATTGTTCACTTGATATCCCTTTGTGTTTCTGTAGTTCATCTGTGGAGCAACAATCAAGGGGCAAGAAGCGTTCAAATCCTTCATCTGCGTTAGCACTGGTTGAGCCAAAGACGGTATTAGCTACCATTGATAGGTCTTCTTCAGCTCTGAAAGTTCCCGCCGGGACGTCATCGCCGTCTGGTCTTTGCAGGCCATGGGATAGAGGAGACCTTATGAGGAGGCTTGCTACTTTCAAGTCCATGACATGGTTTGCCAAACCCCAGGTCTGCTCTATCTTGTGGTTGCTACAGAATTCAAGTCAGCTCTATCTTGTGGTTGCTATGAGATTGTTAGCTGATTCTTTGTGTGTGTGCTGGTAGGTCATTAGTGCTGTAAATTGTGCGAGGAGAGGGTGGGTGAATGTTGACACAGATACTATAGCTTGTGAATCTTGTGGAGCTCATCTTTACTTCTCAGCCCCGTCTTCTTGGTCAAAGCAACAAGGTATGGTTAAGATTTTTCTTTTTTTTGGTAGTATCATCTTTATGCAACTGATACTCCGATATAACAATCTTGTGTTGTGTGACCTTACGGAAACTGGAAATTTTCTCTGTGATCTTACAGTCGAGAAAGCGGCATCAGTCTTCAGCTTAAAGTTGGATAGTGGACACAAATTACTCTGTCCATGGATAGAGAATTCCTGCGAAGAAACGCTTTCTGAGTTTCCTTCGATGTCACCTCAGGATTTAGTGGATAGGCATGAAGAACGGTCAGAAGCTTTACTTCAATTCTCATCCCTGCCTATAATTTCACCATCTGTGATTGAGTACATGAGGAGCTCTGATCTGGAGGAATTTCTTAAACGACCTATTGCACCTGCACGTGGCGACACGACAGCCGAAGGTTCTCAAACCGAATCCCTTATCAATCATGTTGGAGCAACCCCTGCTCAACTTTTCTACCAGGTTTGACCTGTAATCTCAATTATTCCTAGCTAACTTCAAATACTTTGCCATAACATTTCCACATTCGCATTTTCCTTTCAAGGTAGTTACATAGTTATATGATTTTGGTAGAATAGGATAGTTGCCTCTATCAATATAGTTCAATTTGGTCTGTCAATGGAATTAAAAGAATGGCAAATCATTCGTCCCAGTTTATTTGGTATAATTAGCTTACATACATACCTAATAATGGTGCTGATGCATTGATGTTTGCAGGCACAAAAACTTATCAGTTTATGTGGCTGGGAACCGCGAGCACTTCCTTATATTGTGGACTGCAAAGAGAAATCGGGTGAGATTGCTGATGCTACAGAAACTATTGATCTACTTCCAGAAACTGCTACCCGCGAGCTTTTAAGTTCCTCCAATACAATCCCGAATCCAAATGGAATATCAGGGAATAGCGAAACCCCAACAGTGCCAGACACATTGAACTCTGATCCCAGCTCTGTTGTACTGGACTGTAAGCTCTGTGGAGCCTGTGTTGGACTCTGGGTTTTCTCTACTGTTCCAAGACCACTAGAACTGTGTAGAATCACTGGTGATACCGAAGTTAATACAGAGATAAGCTCCAGTGTTGGTAATCTTCAGAATCAAACTTCAGGCTTAAAGTTTACCATAGCAGGAGGACCCCCAGCTACGAAGCAAAACTTCAAAGCAACGATATCGCTGCCTATTATCGGCAGGAACTTGAGGTCGAGGTTTGCTTCTTACTCTAGAGATCGTGATCGTGGGAGTGCCAGTCCTATTCTGGTTCAACAGAGTTTAACTGAAGAGAACAATGGTGGTGTTTCAGAAAATAGTGATCAACTAATGATTAATATGGGAGAGAATGTTAATGAAGGAAGAAACGAATCTGATATAGACAATGATACTACTCCACAGACCAAAGACAGACAACTGATGATAGTAAGATCAGCTCTTCCTGAAAGCAACAAACAGAAGGATTTAACTGCAGGTAAATTGCTAAAAAGTACTAATGCGGATACAAGCACGAATTGTATCCAAAGTACATAGTCATCGCTGAGATCCTTGTGTATAATTATGTTTGAAAGCTCTCATCGTGAGAAAGTTGTGCAGCTTGTGCTAAACTATGCTTATTAAAACCCATATTTCTTGGCGAAGATACAGGTGCATCATCGACGTCAAACAAACAGATGGAATTTGATCCAATAAAGCAGCATAGGCATTTCTGTCCTTGGATCTGGTCAACTGGTAGAAGAGGCCCTGGATGGCGACAGACTCTGTCTGCGTTACAACGCCAAAAAGGATCTTGTCAGACTCCACCATCACCCTCTTCCGTTTTCAAGGTAACACATTCTTTTTAACTTAATTATTTTATTACGTACTCATAGTTAGGATATAAGGAACCTAATTACAGAATGATAGATATAACTCACATCCGACCATTCCCATGGCTACTCTACATGAGATGATCATATATAGACTCACAATTTGATTTGACCATATAAACCCACGACATGAGATCACAAGTTTCGAAACCTTTGTACTTATCCTTGTCGTTGTTACAGTCCCATCTATGCATGAAATTTACTTGATTCGATAATCTTTTTGGAATCGTTCTGAGCATAAGATAAATTATCAAATTGTAAAGAACAAGAACCATATGCATTCTATACCTGTAAGATTATTTGATATTTCGTTAAAGATAATGTCTTTAATGGCTCTTTATGTGATGTTTTCAGGTAGACGATCCGTTAACATCCGTTCGGAACCTATTTAAGTCGCCTTCTCCGAAAAAACGGAAACTGATCAGAGAATCTTCAAACTGAGACACCGACGATTTTGTTCCCGAAAAAAACTTGAGCTTTCTTGATCTACACTGCATCCGGAAATTTGAAACCTGAAAAAAACTGTTAACATTACACTGAGTTTTATTTGTTGATACCTCAAAATACCTGTTGTTTAACCCATTTGAAAATTGCTAGAGTTTGTACCGGAATTTATCAAAATCTAGACTTTTAGATCGAACCTTAGCACAAAGTTCAAGTCAGTAGACAAACTTTTGGGTTGAAATAGCTCCCTGAGAAATTTCAGGTACATAGAGGTTTTATTGTGGTTGAGTGAGAATTCTCCCTTACTGAACAATTTATTTCTAGTACCAGATATTTTGTATGAATATTGTTACTTTATTAATGTCCATTTTCCAACTAGTTTAAATAATCACGAAACTCCTTTTCCTGTTTTAGTATAGAAACAGACAAGCACAAGTAGATCCCCGAGATACAACCAAGTTCCTAGCATCATTTTCCACTATCTTCTTCATTTTATCTTCTTAATATACTTTTTTTACATAAAATGCTTTTTCAATTAAATGTGGACCGTCTAGTTTCATGGCTCGTTTAAGGATATGTAAACATATTTGTGGTTCTTAAAGATTCTAATGTTTACTGTAATTCCTATTTTTATATTCGTTTACAGCTTCTCTTGTTCACGCGCCCATGGAGGGCGTGTACCTCACGTACCATTACCTTAAACGAGAAAATTACGAGGCAGTGCGCGTGAGGTTCGTATTTATTACATTTTGCTTCGAATACATGTGGAAGTCATCTGCTTCTGTCAGCTGATGACGTGGAATTTTAAGGGCCCCACTGAAGGTTTACCTTTTCGAGTTTACAGAGGTCTACCACTTGAAACGTGGTTGGTCCATAACGGGCTGTTCATATTAAGACATTATATTTAGGTTTTGAACCCTTGATTTTGTTGCAGTTCTTTATGTGTCTACAAAAGTTTGTTTTTCATAATTCAAGCCTTTAATTCGTGTTTCTTTACCTTAACTGCCACATTTATCATCACAAGTCCTACCAAACATGTTAATTGCAGAGAAGTTTGTTTCACACGAACTTTCTTTCCTTTTTCTTTTGATAATAATGTATTTTTAGGTCTTTGAATGTATTTATAAATCAGTACTATATAATCCTTAATTGCTATTAAGATTTTGTTTTCCATATACCGTACCAATTATACCTATTTATAAAATAAAACAAATGTATCAGTTTTCAAATGATCTTGATTGTTTTGTAGTGGTGTTCTACTGAATCCCACTTTAATAGACTAGGGTTTAGCATCACGCCATCACCAACACAACCACGATAATGTATTTAATTACTGATTTTGATTGTTTTGATTATTTGTTTGCATTTATTGTATCTATAGAGAGAGATCATAGTTTCTATCAATAATAACATGAAATTATGAAACGGTGAAGAATTAACAATTCATATAAAATAAAAAGAAATGGTAGGTTATTTTATATATACTTCATTGTGAAATGACCCAACATATGATTCGTAGTTTTTAAGAATCATTTGATTGTATAATACTATAACCCATGTTCAGTGTGTATACATATGGTAAAAGACTAGAATCAGGTTATTGCCCCCAAAAGGTGTTAAAAATGCAGCACATTCAACTATATATTTCGATAACAAAAACACGGTCCATGATTTCATACTCAAAACACATCTTTGACCCACTTAAATTTATTTCCACAAACCTAAATTCCAATTTTCATTATACAATACAGACGCAGAGGAGAGAGAAGAGAAAGTGAGTCACAAGAATCACGTACGACACATTAAAAAGAAAAAAAAACCGAAACCCAATTCAATTCTCCTTTTTCAGACCAAACACGGAGAGAGCGAGGGAGACTAGAAATGGAAGATGTACGGAGGATCGTGGTGGTTGTAGAGGATAAAGAAGCGGCGAGGACGGCGTTACAATGGGCACTTCATAACCTCCTCCGTCACGGTGACATCATAGTCCTCCTCCACGTATTCTCTCCTCCGCCGCGCAAGAAAAAATCTTCGGCGGCGCGTCTCCTCCGCAGCAACGGATACCATCTCGCCCTCTCTTTCCGTGAAATCTGCGACGCTTTTTTCAATGTGAGTAAATGAATCAGTCTAATCTCAAAGTTTCTTGATTCTTGATGAAATTTGATAAAATATTATATTCGATTTCATTGTGATCGTGGTTACAGACGAACACGGAGATAATCGTGAGAGAAGGAGACGAAGATGGAAGAACGATCGCTGAAGTCGTGAAAGAGATTGGAGCTTCGACGATCCTCGTCGGTCTCCATCAGAACAGCTTTCTTTACAGGTACTATTGTGATCGATTCAATAATTACGGGGTCATAATTAAAGATTCCGAATCCTACATGTGCCAAATAGTAATTAGTTGCTATTTGGTTTACGAATGTGTAGATGGGCAATGAGTGGGATTGACGTAGCGAGAAATTTCAACTGCAAAGTGATAGCTATAAAGCAGCCTTCACCGGAACAGCCGCCGCCGGGAAAAGTAAAGGGACACAAGACTTCACCGACGATGGCGACATCAAATAGTTTAACTAATTTTGACTTTTCCCAAATCGAAATTTCTGGATTACAGTAAGATTCCTAACCTCATTGTTTTCAATTCTTTTTAATAGTACTTTATTAACTAAAAACTTGGTGAAATAATTTCAAGAGAAAGATACTTTAGTTTTCGAATTTGATATGTAGAATACAAATAATACTGAATCTGATGATAAAGTGGTCTACTTTGTTGAAACAGGGTTCCTGAGATTCCGACACCTAAAGTGCCGTACAGATTATGTCCGAGTCCTCATGCGATACTTTGGAGAAAAAGACCACGAAGATCAAAACAGCGATACAGTGTTTCATAGCCTCCCGACTTTTTTTATTCCAAGACAAAAAGAAAAAACGAAACCTTACTCTCAATTTTTGTCAAAGAATTTTTTTTTTTTTTACTCAATACAAAAAGAGCATTTTCCCAAACCATCGTCACAAAATTGGCTCTAGTGATAAAAGTAGAAAAATCAAAAATAATTTCCCGAGGACCCAAAATACAAAACTTGAAACACATAATTAGAGATATAAAGAATGTTAAGACTCGCTTTCCTCTCCTCCATAAATTGTATTAGTATCTGATGTATGCTAATATCTAAACACATTAGCTTTTATAGCAACAAGTGTTCTCTCCTGTATTCACGAACAATCACTGGTATGCTCGTCGGAGGAATCTATAAATACATTACCAAACACAGAAATGTATCAGACCATGAATTCACAGTGCTTTTGCATAATATAAAACTTAAAACACAACAATGTGTGTGAATGTAGTAAATACGTACCATTCCATAATCCGTTACGATCATAGATATATATTCCGAAGGAGTTGAATCGTACCTGAACAATAAAAGAGAGGAAATGAATAAGAATATGAGACAACAAGATAAAGCTTTGTGATGAATTTTCAATCAAAACAAACTTAGAAAAGACTTTACATTAGATTAAGAAACTGAAGGTTTTTGTTGCTATCCATCGTCTTCAAATGCTTTGCGTTGGCTCTAATAGGTACGTTGGCTATAACATCAGGATCGCCTGCGAAATTTCCACATACAAAGCTCTATTAAAATCTGATTTGAGCAAAGTAAAATTCGACAGAGAAGAGCGAGCGACTGAGATATTACCTAGTTCGTTGGAGCAGATTGAATCAAGTAGGACTCTTTCATGGAACTTGTAAGCTTCACAACAGACAATGACAGGAACACTAAACGCGTTTGCAACCATTGCAACGCAGGCTGTGCCGACTCTCGAGTAAAGAGTTCCATTAGAGAAGATCGATGAAGCCCCGAGGAAAACCCGTGTGACATCGCGCATGATGTAGGAAATGGCGTTTATATGAGTGTAGGTACAGTCGAGGCCACTGGTCACAAGTCTACGGAGTAGCTTTTGACCTTCAAGATTAGGGCGTGAGTCAACAATCACCACACGGAACTTTTTCCCAATTTCATGAGCGTACAAGAGAATCATCTCAACCACACAAGAGAATCCATACGTGAGAAGAACCTCTCCGTCCCTGATTTTTGTCACGGCGTGTTGTACGATTACGTTGCCTGCAAGAATGATCTTCTGGTCTATGAACCGGCCGATTTCGGAACAGAGAGAAGCTTTTGCCTCAGACTCGGACAGGTTTACAGGTAGTTTCCTGATTTGGTTCTTCAGAAACCTAATTGCGTTTCCCATGCTCATGGAGAGCGGGCGACACTCTATCAAGAATGAAACATAACCGTTTATCTTGGCTGTCAAATCCATGGCAAAGTCTTTCGTAGGAGGTGTAGTGTAATCGTTTATAGCTTCTTGAAATGCTTGGAGCATGGCGATACATCGCGTATTGTCCCCAGATATATCTCTGGCCAAATGTTGCAAACCCACCTAATATTAACGAAAGACACCTTAAAATGTGGCGTAGACTCAATAAACCACTGAGTTTTACTTCAAATCCTTGTCAACAACAGTTCCAAAAGCTTAACATTCGAACATTATAAACAAGTAGGTGTACCTTATAGACCGCGTGGTGTATGGTATCGAGTGTGAATATATTGGAGGTTAAATTGGGAAGCTGATTCCCACGCTCATATTGAGGAAGATGGAGAAATAACTCAACCTTGTTCTTGCTCTCACTCTGCTCAACAACCGAACGCTTCTTGGCTTTCTCCACTCGACTTTTATCGTCATACTGCATCTGTGTCTGAGGAACATCCATCTTCCTCTCTTTTTCTACTGCTACAGATTTTTTCTCAGAGACGGATGATGTCCCGGGAAGTCCCTCTTTCTTCGGCTGAGGCTGTTTCGTAGCCTTGCTGGGTTTGGCTCTACCAGAATCATCTCCACGACTGTTTCCTTCGCCTAAAAATTAGCAAGAGGAAAAGCATTAAGATGATGGTTTTACACTTCATAGCAATGAAAACATGTAAACAATGCAATATATTGAACAAAAGCAAGAACCTTTTGCAGCAGCTTTTGCTGCCCGTTGTGCTTCTTGGATGGCACGCCTTTCTGCTTTACTGGTTTTCTCTTTCAGCGATTTCGTTTCCTTTTCCTTCTGGGGCTTTGTGGTCACAGGTTCCTTCTTTCCTGCACAATAATCAAATGTTTGTGTCAGTAACGACTCAAACGCATAAGTGCTATATAGGTCTTATAGCGTATGATTCCAGTTCGGAAGCAGAGATTGATGATTCTTCTCTGGGAAAGCCTATGGCTTCTCATTCTTAAGGTTGGTCCAGTTCAGAAACTGAGTCTAATGATCATCCTCCGACGTTTAACCACTGAGTTTAGCTTCAAAAGCACAACTCTCTGTTTCAAAGTCAGAGTCGAACTATCAACATTGGCAGAAAATGCTCACCAGACTCAGTTCTAAACATTCTCTACAGACCGTTGTGTCGTCATCATCAGAGCAAGAGAATAGTCATCTCGTGCTTCTAACGACAAACGCAGAGATATCAACGAGGCCGGAGAATGATCACTGAACCGGAGTCTCACGGCTCAGGCCAAACTCAACGAGAAAGGGAATATATATATAACTAGTAACTACGAAGGGGCGTATACGCAATTTATTCGATTTAATTGATACGTATACATACCAGAAGCTTCACCATTGTTCTTTCTCGCTTCAGAAGTCGACGCGGTCGCAATTTTGGATTTGAATTCCTGTGGAGCTCTAACTGACATAGTCAAATCGAATCCTCCATTAGGAAAGCTCGCCGATAGTTTCCCCGAATCGCTTCGCTGGAACCCAAACAGAGAATTCGAATCCTCAGAGAGCTCTCCATTACTCGACGGCGGCGATGTCCCGAGGAGAGAATCCACAGGGTTGTAACTGCCGACGTGGAGACTCCGGTCATGTGCTAGGTGACGGCGGAAGGCGGAAGGTCCAGGGACGGGCACAGGCGCTGCGCGAGATGCCAGATTATCAGAGTGGTAACGCGACGGTGGTATCTGGACCGGAGAAATGAAATTTCCGGAGGGAGAATCGGAGAGAGGGGAGGAAGAAGTTAGTGCCTCTGCCGGGCCGGATTGGCTTCGATTCGGTCGCGGCGTCTCCGGTGACGGCTCGATTGATGTAAAGAAACCTACTCGGCGGACTTTAGGGACCGGAAGAGGTCCACGACGTGCGTCCATGGTGGACGTTACTCAAGTTTCTTCTCCGATGGAATTTCAAAGGATCGCTGGAAGAAGACAATTTAGGGTTTAATTAGGAGATATACAAAGAATTGACCAAAACGGTGGATGATGGCTATAAACCTTCGCTTCAACTTTCAAGTGGCAATTAATTAGATTTCTAATAACGTGTCAAGAAAATAACTAGCGACTAATGCCCTTAAAATCAAGTTTCAATTGGTTTATCGATTTTTCTGAACCGGAGTATTTGCAAAATTTTACCGAACCGGTTCAATGGACTTGGTCAGATCTTCAGAAGTGAGAACACAATTTTGGCGACCTAGCAAAAGTCAAGATACCAATCCGTTGACCATTAAATAAGTATCGATTAATAATAATCCCTTAAAATCGAGATTCAATTGGTTTATCGATTTTTCTGAACCGGACTTTTAACAAAATTTTACCGAACCGGTTCAATGACTTGGTCAGAATCTTCAGAAGTCAGAACCCAAATTTTGGCGACCTAGCAAAAGTCAAGATACCAATCCGTTGACCATAAATAAACGCCTTTCGATAGAACTCAGTCCGTACATGAGATTTGATTGTGCGATTGTGATCGGACCGGAACCAATGGACAAAGACTCTTTTTTCCGGCTGTCGGAACTCTACGATCTCTCCCATCAAGTCGACTCTCTAAATCGTCAAGGTAAGTATTTAACCGTTACTTCCGCGGGAAATCTTTCTTGATAATTTGAAATTCTACAGAGGAAACAGAGATTTTCGCTTAAAAACTCACACTGTTTTTTTTATTCATGTTCTGGAATTGTTAAGGTAATTATGCTCAGACGAATCTAATTTTGGTTATAATGATTTAAACAATAGAATGCGAACTGTTGATAAGAATCTACTGCTTACCCACAATTTTTGTGGATCTAGTTGTTTGCTTGTAGTTTTAAAATTTGTGTATCCGGTATTCGATCATCTACCGTTTTGATCTGAGACGCTTATGACGAATCGTAGCATATATATATATAATAGCACTAATTACCGAGTTGATAATGATTGGTGGTTGATATTAAATCATAAGAAAAATAGCTACTTTTTTTTAATTAATGATATTACATTTTGATCTTAACACAAGTTTCAGTAGATGTTAATGATATTGCATTGGAGAATGATGATCTTAATGAAGAAGAAGAATTATGTAGAGAGGCTTTTGATACGAATCTTGAGAAGCATAACTTCTTTAATGAGCAAAATAAGTATATACGGGCAATGAACGTAAAGAGAAATAGAGACTATGTTTACTTGGAGAGAGTTAATGGAGATATGGTTAACATTCTTGGAGGACTTGAATTGTACACTCAAGTTTTCAACGCAGCAGAACAGAAAAAAATTATTGATAAAGTGTGTGAACTTCAAGAGAAGGCACGAAAAGGAGAACTGAGTGAGTAGAAATAGCTTAAACCTAAAGTTTTCTTTGTGTTTTTTTTTTTTTCGATCTGCAAAAAAAAAACCTAAAATCTCTTTGTTTTTGTTTGTTAGAGCGTGCGTTTACTGCTAAAGGCAAAGGACGTTCAGCTATTCAATTCGGTTGTTGTTTTAACTACCGTACGGTAAGTTAAAACTCTCGTTCTTGATCTGTCCTTTTTCTTGATTTACAAGTTTTAATGAGTGCTCATTGAGTTTTGCAGGGCAAACCTGGAAACCCTGTGGGGATACTTAGACATGAAACAGTTGATCCGTTGCCTTCTCTTTTCAAGATGATCATTAGAAGGATGGTTAAATGGCATGTTCTGCCTCCAACTTGTGTGCCTGATTGTTGTGTAGTCAATATCTATGATGAAGGTGATTGCATACCTCCTCATGTCGATAATCACGACTTCCTCCGCCCGTTCTGTACTGTTTCTTTCCTCAGTGAATGTAACATCCTCTTTGGATCGAACCTAAAAGTTGAGGAAACCTGTGTATATTCAGGTGATTCATACTCATTACCACTTCCTGTTGGGTAAGTTCTTATTTGTTTTCTTGCAACTTCTTGTTTAAAAACTTGGAAAGAGTAGTTAACAAAATCATTAAAACAATTTTCAGATCTGTGCTTGTGTTAAATGGGAATGTAGCTAATGTAGCTAAGCATTGTGTACCTGAAGTTCCCACGAAAAGGTAACTTTGGTTAATTTCTTTTACATAATAGTACTACTAAACACTGTTTTCTTATTTATTTCCTATTTAACTGTGTTTTTCTTTTTCTTTTCAACAGAATATCAATCACATTTAGGAAAATGGACGAGTCAAAACGTCCAGTGTGGTTCACACCAGAGCCTGATTTGCAGGGGATTCAGCCATTGCCATACGAGCTAAACTCGTCTGCTGCCTCTGACCATGTATCTTAGTGTTAACATATATATGTATATTACAGTTTGATTTGCCGGTGGACCGGTGGTGTGTATATTAGTGTTTACAAATATGTGACAAATATATGTATATTAATTACAGTTTGATTTGCCGGTAGTGTGAATAATCATTTTATTGTTTACCTCACTCTTTATTTCTCATATTTTTTAAAATATTGTTCTACGAGAAATCAGATATATAATCAGAAACTTTTACATTATCTTGCGATATGAAATGGACTAAATTCATTTCTCATATACATCTCTTTTGTAAACAATGTTTTTCTTTCCCGTAGACATGAGTTTTATTTCTAATATGGTTTGATAGCTATAGATTTGTCCTTAGGCACAGGTGTATACTTCAGGGGACGGTCAAAGCTATAGCTCAGCCAAACTATAAACCAATTCAGGAGAAGGAAGGCTGGAATGCCGCCAGACGTCTATTATTGAGCTGTTTCCTGGCAATCAAAACTACAGCTTTATCCACGACTGAAGCAGAATTGCTGCCACAGAAGCTTGCAAGGAGATGTTGTGGATGAAGAACTTCTTGCTTGAGTTGGGAGAACCGGGCTAGCTACACTTCTCTAACTCCCATGCCAGTCCTTCAGATTGTTTATCAACTTAAATTTTGATGGATATCATATCGTATGATCACTATATATGAATGGTTATGGCAATCAATGACCACAATTCATTTTCAATTGACACAAATATATCTATGCTTGCAAGATGGCTTGGGTAATGAACGAAGTATATATACACTCTTACAAAATAAAATAAAAAAGAGGAGTGATCTTAATTTAAACGTAGCTCAACCGGTTAAAGTTATAAGTTTTTGTAACAACTATATTTAAATTAGTTCTAGACGTAAAAGACTGTATATGGACCACTTAAATTAATCCCAGACCTAACAAGACTACGGACTAATTGTAAAAATGATCAGAAATCAAAGTAGCATATATTGATTCGTCTAAATTTAATAACCACGAACTATTCTCAGTGTGCAACGCAATTCATGGGTATCGATTTTTATTTTCAGCACCAAAAAGAGAGAACCAAATTGACTAGGAAAGAAAAAGAAAAAAACTAACGGATAATTTTTTCTACGGAAAATGGTAGACGCAGAACAAGTCAGTAAAAACAAGACCGAAACTCCACGTGTTTGCATGCATGCGCCTTCACTTCCGGAACCTGTCTCCATTTGTTTTATCTTTTCCTCTCTTTCTTTCTCGCACCTCACACATCTCCTCTCCGATAATGGCTGACCGAACAAGTCCTACCCACATCCAACACAGACCCACCTACGGCGCAACCACCGTCCCCCGCAGCAACAACATTAACCATCCAATCGCCTCTCTCCTCCGTCAGATACAATCACACGCTCCCAATTACTCAGGTCCGCTCTTCGGCTTCCTCGCATTCGCCATCTGCGGTGGAATCCTCCTCTTGCTTACTGGCATCACCGTCACAGCTTCCGTCCTCGGATTCATCGCTTTCCTTCCAATCATCATCATCTCAAGCCCTATCTGGATCCCTTTGTTCCTTCTCGTTACCGGGTTATTGTCCCTAGTCGGATTTCTATTCGGTACGGCAGCTGTTGTGTCGTGGACGTATCGGTATTTCAAAGGCATGCATCCGGTCGGGTCGGATCAGGTGGATTATGCTCGCAGTCGGATCTATGACACGGCGGTTCATGTCAAAGATTATGCTGGTGGGTACTTACATGGTAAGGCAGCACCTGGCGCATGAAAAGCTTCGCCGGCATACGGTTTGGGTTCATGTAGAAATTGCTCTTTTCTGTTTTTAATTATGTTGTTTTATTTTTGTCTCTTTTTGTGTGATCATCCATGACAATGATGTAATGAGATCAATCAAGCTTTGAAATTTAGTTCGTGTTTGTATGAAAATCACTTAAAATAATATAGGAGTAATTTTTTGGTGGAAATATTTTGATTAACTCTTTACCATTATAATCTTGTCAATTTGTATAGTAAAATTGACAAGTAGCCTATTCCGAATTAAGAAGAATATATATTTCGAATTAAGGAAAAATATGAGTGAAAACGCAACTTTATCTTTCACTTGTGTTTATCGTTTTAGATATGGCTTTATAACCATTTTTGTTTTTCAGTAGCTTTACAGCTAACTATTGACTTGTTCGTCATAAGCAGGCAGAATGAATGTATCATGTATGTTCTAGTGACATGATTATACTATAACATTTGCAAACATGCCAATAAGGCGACGATATCTGAATGTCAGTACTAACGTACTTAATTTAATGTTTTGGGATTTTTCAACAACTAACCGAGTTAAACTGAACTAAGGTGGGGTATTGGATAATTGATTTGAAGAGAATGCACAACAATTAGAAAATAATTAATTAGAAAATAATTAATTTTGAAGTAATTTTTTTGTTGAGAATTTAAATCAATTTTACCAAAATGACAACAAAAATGATAAGAATTAGTTCAGTACAAAATTAACCAAAATTTCATTGTAATTCTATTAAATTCCTTTAAAATGACACTAAAATTGAATAACACTAACAATTAATGAAATTAGAAAATTATTACATTGAATAATACTAGAATTTAAAATAATTTAAAAGAATGATTTCAAATATTGGATCCAATAACACATAAATTTAAAAGAATTTGTGAAATCCACTACATATTATTTGAGAAGTAACATTATTGAAAATTGCTTACTTGTCAACACTACAATCAAAGTTAGTGCTTTTAATTGATGACATGTAAATGTGACATGTCAAATTTCCTAAAATAAACGAAATATTTTGATTGGTTGAATTGAAATTATAGAAATTGTAGAATTAAAACATAAATAAACTAAATTATATTTATAACACTACAATTAATAAATTTAAATTAACAGAAAATAAAAACTATTATAATTTTAATTTTTTACATATATTCATAATTTCATAAAAAATAATTACAAAATTTTTTCAACAATATATATATATATATATTATAATTTCATATAAAATTAAAAAATAATATTAAATTATCCAATAGAATAGTAAAAATTCTATTTATTAATAATACTTTAAGTATGATATATTTTTATTTCGGAAAATTATTAATTAAATCTAAAAAGTTTTAAATAAACAAATTATTAAATAATACAATTTTAAATAAAATACAATCATGATAAAAATAATTTAAAGAATAAAATGTTAAAATAATAAAAATAAATAACTTTTATTGATTTTTTTTAAAAAAATGTAATTTAAAAAAAATATTTTCAAACCAATATTTACTAAATGAATAAAGTATATACTAATTATTATTTTATAATATTAATAGGACCATATATTTTTCTATAAACTTTATCATCTTTTTATTGTTGTTTTCTAACATGTGCATAACTTATGTTACCCTATCATCTTATCTCTTATCATATTTTAAATAAAAATAAAATTTTATATCATATTAATATATATATATATACATAATTTTGTTTTTATTGTATATCAAAATTTTGAGATCATAAATGAATTAAAAAATAACCGAACGAAAAAATATATTATAATAAGATGAAACAATATGAATAAGAAATAAAAATAGAAGTATATAAAAATAAATCTTTCGCCATTTGTTTTAAATAGTCACTTAAAAAAAAATTAACACGTAAGAGCCATATTTCAATTTTTTTATAATACGCGTACATATATAAATATTAGTTGTACATTAGTTAAAGTCACATGCGAACTTTTTTGTGCATGTATTTTGTTAAGATTGATTACAGTCTAATTTTTATTTTAATTATTATCTAATTTATATTTTTTAAAAAATCTTTATTATTCTAAGTGTAGTAAAGTGATTGGTATGCCCGCACATGCGTGCCAACCATCTATCCACTCTTAGGAATAAGTAAAAATGGTAAAAACTATTTCAGTTTAATTTGCAATAAATCAAGAAAAATATATACTTAAAATATATTATATATGTATTTACAAACTCATATTATGTAAGACGTAAAAAAGCATATTGTAGATTGTGTAAGGAGAAATAAAGCATATTAATATTATAAGAATTTAATTATTATTTAACATAACTTTTATTTTTGTGATTATATACTATTACAAGCATTATAAAAATAAAAAAATACATTGATTTCAGAAAAAAGTTTGTGAAATATTAAAATAATATATATATATATATATACAAATATATAAATATTTAAAATTTAAATATTACAATTAACTATGTATATCAAAAAAATTATACCCGTACATATGTGCGGACCAACCACCTAGTACAATATTGAATAAGAATGGAATTTAATAGAAAGTCTAATTCCTTCTAATTCAATTAAATTCCTTAATTGAATACCTCCCCCTAAGTCAAATGAAATTAATAAATCGGATCGAGTCAATATTAAAATGAAAAACCAAAACTAAATCGAGTCAATAGAGCTCTTTAGATACAATATTTTAAAACAAACAAATTGAAACGAAAAGCTATTATTCCGTTACTGGCTCTATGCTATCATCGAAAGTTGGCTAACGTATAGTATACGAAATTTCTCGAAATATTATTATTGATCTCTAATAGTCTTACAATCATTTAGGGTACGTATTCTAATTTTCTGATCTATATAGTAAAAACAAAATTAAAACATGAACACGATTTGAAAACATTCAAGCTTAGGTGTATAATTGAATTTCCCTTGGGATGGTATATGGAAAATCTAAACTCTAAATGAAATCTTTATCGATTACAGTAGCTACTTAAATATCATGATGGTTTTGAGACTTTGGAATTTCATGGCCTTATCCAATTTAAATGTTGTAAGAAAACAACTTAGAATAAAAGGCATCACAATAACATACTTACATACACACATACATCGTTTGTTTGCTGCTTCAAAATCCTTCGTCCCAATCAGATTTAACGGCGACCCGTCTTAAAAACGGGTCGGGTGATTGGGTAACGGAGTGCCACGTGGAGACCTCGGAGGCGCCTCTCTTAACTGCCGTCCGTTGCAGTCGTAATAAATCACACCCGAGAAATCCAACGGCTCACATTTGCCGCCCATCAAAATCTCTCTCTGCCAAAGACCATGCTCTTCCTCCTCCATCGCTGACTTTTTCTTCTTCTCCGGCTTAAAACCTCCGCCGTATCCTGTGTTTTTTCGGCCGACCATCGTCATCGCCTTGTTGCTAATAGCCATAAGCACCTCTTTCGGCCGAGGAGATCTCAACGGTGAGCTCGACAGTTTCCATCGTAATCTTTCTCCGCCGCCGGAATTTCCGTTGATGTGAGTTCGCTTCTTAGGCTTTAGCTTTAGCTTCTTGGAGAGCCGATTCGCGTGCCTGGCGCAGAGGACCATAAGAGAGACGAGATAGCTCACGCTCATACGCTTGTGGGAAGAGGAGGACTTATGCTCCGGCGTAGATCGTTCCATATCTTCGCCGGGAAAATAGAAAAACGAGAAGTGAAAACTAAAAAACTAAAAACCCTTCGTTACGTTGTTTTGTTTTAACGAGTCAAAGTCAAAAAACTCGATTTTAAGGCGAATTAATCTTTAGTGTGACTAGTGTCTGAAATGTATGTGGAATAAATACTGACGCGTCGATGAGATTTAAGAAAAGGGTGTTAGGTTACCGGTGGAACCGGTCGTCTTTACGTTGTTTTGGTTTATTAGTATTTATTATATTGACTGTTGGACAATGACTTTTTGAAATTTTGAAACATTCGTTTTTTTAATACAGTATATGTTTATATGCTGGATATTTGAATCTTCAAAAGAGCATGCGACGGACATGCATAAACGATCTTGGCATTATTAATATTATAATATCATAAAAGCTAAGCTAAGGTAATCCAAAAACATAAAAGCTAAAGTCAGGCATACTACTGAGCCAACATAGAAAGTTATGACTAGATCAGTAACTTCTGATCTTGTGAACGTGTATGTGGTGAATAATATTAATGAACAAAATAAGAAATACCACTAAAGAAGTTTGAGATTCTGAGCGTTTCATTTTTGTCTTTTTACAGCGTTTTATTCTTAAAGTTTATTGTTCCTGGTTAATAATATATGCGATAATCAAAACTTGAGCCAAATTTGTAAGTGATATAATTTTAAGTATGAGTCTTATAACAGAAGATTACCCCGTTTTTTGTTAAAACTTTTTAAGTATGAGTCTAATAATATGAGTTTGAATCCCTTATCCAGATGGTGACACAAATGATTAAGAAAACCTCCTTTCCCAAATTTTTAATGTAGAAAAATGTTAAAGTAGCCTAGTAACAGAAAGTTGTATACTGTATATAGAACTGATAGAAAATTCCACGGACTTTGAATTTTTACTTTAAAATAAATAAGAAAAATTATTGTATGGGGCTCTTGTATTGAACCTGTTTTAAAAACGATGTGTAGAAATATAATATATATATATAATATTTGTTAAAAACATGTGGAGTATGTTGTTAAAAAAGAATATATGCAGTAAAGGAAAAAATTTGTTTACGATTTTACAGTGTATCGATTTCAAATAAAATGGTAGAATTTGGATAGCATATTCTCTTGATATATTAAAAGTGACCAACCAAAAAGAATCAAAGATAGACATGGTGATTGGTAATTACGTTTTACGTATAACAACATAAAAATAAATAAATGACAAGAGGAACGTAAACGTCACTTGGACGGCCATGAATGATTTATATGTTCATCCTTATCGTGACCTCAAAAACTAACAAAAAACTAGTTCCACAAAACTCCAAAAGAAAAGAATCTGACCCATTCATATACATTTCACAAACACTATCATGCCCACCACACGATTTACCCAAAGCATAGAGAGAGTTAGGAGAGAGAAACAAAGAAAGAGAGAAACACAGAGAGAAGCAATCGAAATGGAGAATGTGGAAGTGACATGGAGCAGAGAAGAAGAGAAAGCATTCGAGAACGCAATTGCGATGCATTGCGTAGAGGAAGAGATAACAGAGGATCAATGGAGGAGAATGGCGTCAATGGTTCCAACCAAATCATCAGAACAGGTAAAGAAACACTACCAAATCCTTTTAGAAGATGTCAAGGCAATCGAGAATGGCCATGTCCCTTTACCTCGTTACCACAGAAAAGGGACCGCCGCCGACGAGGCAGCAGCAGCAACTTCTCCGGCGAACAGAGACTGTCATTCCTCTGGCGGGAGCGGATCATCCGAGAAGAAACCGAATCATGGTATAAGCAGCTCCAATGGCGGAGGAAGTGGAGGAGGAGGAAGAAGTGGTTCCAAAGCTGAGCAAGAGAGAAGAAAAGGGATTCCATGGACAGAAGAAGAGCATCGGTTTCTTTTTCTTCTTCTTCCTCTTCCTCTTCTTCTTCTTTAGTCAACGAGAATCTCATAGTGAAAAAGATCTCACCTTTATTCAATTATTTGTTTTGTCTTGTCTTGAAAGGTTGTTTCTTTTGGGTTTGGACAAGTTTGGGAAAGGAGATTGGAGAAGCATCTCAAGAAACTTTGTGATCTCAAGAACACCGACCCAAGTAGCAAGCCATGCTCAGAAATACTTCATCAGACTTAACTCAATGAACCGAGACAGAAGACGTTCCAGCATTCACGACATCACTACTGTGAACAATCAAGCTCCTGCGGTTACAGGAGGAGGAGGAGGACAACAACAACAACAACAACAAGTGGTTAAACATAGACCAGCTCTTCAACAGCCACAGACGCAGCCGCAGCCGCAGCCGCAACCGCATCATCCGGGTTCAACAATGGCTGGACTAGGGATGTATGGTGGTGCACCAGTTGGACAACCAATCATCGCACCGCCTGATCATATGGGTTCAGCTGTTGGAACACCTGTGATGCTTCCACCTCCAATGGGAGGTCATCATCACCATCACCATCTTCATCATCAACATCTTGGTGTTGCTCCTTATCCTGTACCGGCTTATCCGGTTCCACAAATACCGCAGCATCATCCAGCTCCTTCGACTATGCATTGACAAACACAGTTGGTGTAAAACTGACCGTATATTCTCAAATCGAATAGCGGAAAAAAAAACAAAAAACTGAGAGACTGAAACGAGCAGCAAATAATGTACAGCAGCGTTTCATTTTTGTCTTTTTACAGCGTTTTATTCTTAAAGTTTGTTGTTCCTGGTTAATAATATATGCATATATATTAGATAATCAAAACTTGAGCCAAATTTGTAAGTGATATAATTTTAAGTAGGAGTCTTACAACAGAAGATTACCCCGTTTTTTGTTAAAACTTTTTAAGTATGAGTCTAATAATATGAGTTTGAATCCCTTATCCAGATGGTGACATAAATGATTAAGAAAAATTCTTTTTCTAAATTTTTAATGTAGAAAAATGTTAAAGTAGCCTAGTAACAGAAAAACTGTATATGGAACTGATAGAAAATTTCACGGACTTTGAATTTTTATTTTTAAATAAAATAAAATAAATTATTGTATTGGGCTCTTATATTGAACCTGTTTTAAAAACGATGTGTAGAAATATATATATGTATATATAATATTCTGTCCGTTTTTACTAAAAGATGTTTTAGAGTTTATTTTATATTCCAAAATATATAATGTTTTTAAATTTCCATATAAAAATTAATTGTATTTTTGTTGTTTTGACTGTTTGAATTCTGAATCATATTATTCTATTGATTGAAATGTTTTGGAATTGATAAAAAAATATATTTTGTTTTGAAAACATAAAAATTTAAATAATTTTTTAATATATATGCACATCTCTAAAATATTATCTATTAAAAAACGGAGGGAGTATTTGTTAAAACATGTGGAGTATGTTGTTAAAAAACTATATATGCAGTAAAGGAAAAATATTGTTTACGATTTTACAGTATATCGATTTCAAATAAAATGGTAGAATTTGGATAGCATATTCTCTTGATATATTAAAAGTGACCAACCAAAAAGAATCAAAAATAGACAATATAAAAATAATTAAATGACAAGAGGGAACGTAAACGTCACTTGGACGGCCATGAATGATTTATATATCGGCAGAAACGATATTCAAGTCTTCCATTTGATCGGGTTGCGAGAGAAGTTCACATTGTTGATTTGTTTAATGATCTGAAAAAAATATTATACTATTGTATAATAGTTTGAATAATTATTATTGATGTATTACCATCGAAATTAATTTTATTAATTGTCGTCAATAGCATTAACATTGCATTATTACTGTATACTTTTCAATTTGTAAGTATTTGGGTCGAGTCGCGTTGATGGGTTTTCCTACAACCAAACAACTTATTCTTAGACCATCTCCATTGGTAAATCCAATTAGGGTTGTTAACAAAATTTTTAATATAAATTTCTCATCATCTTACTTTAAATACCTTGTTAGAAAAATATATTTTTCCTCTTCCATTGGTAAAAATTTATTAAGAGTTATTAAAAATAAAATAAAAAATTATATTTTAGAAATTATCATATGCAAATAAAAAGAGAAGTGAAAGAAAAATTACCATGAAGAGCTTTGCAAAAAATGAAACATTTGTGTGTTTCTAGAAAAAGCTGAACTGCATTCCTATGGTGAAGCAATTTGAACGATTTCACATTTTCTCGATGATAGAAATAAACAAAATATCATTTTGTTTCATCAAACTGCATTTCTATGTTGAAGCACATATGTCACATTTATGAGTCTTCAGTCGCAGTTTTGCCTAAAAGAACAAAAGAAAATTTAAAGACAGAATTGATTGGACTAAGAATGTGCTTGATGTCTGAGAAAAAAAATGATTGAGTGGGAAACTTTCAAATCACATGGAAATACATAAGAAGTGTTTGACTTGCCTTCTCTTCGGTATCATCAAGATGTTGGGTGAGTCTCGCAGCGATTTTCGGAACTCTTTCAATTAGAATATTTTCAGGAACCTGTACCAAACGCATAATAAGCATAAATCTAATGAGCTCGTCTCTAATCATTGGCTAAAGATTTGAAGCAATGTGATTGAACTTAACTAAATCATCTTATAAGTAGTCTCGGTTCTAAGACCAACTTGACCAATCTTAAAAAACAACAAAACAGGAAACTCTAAAAAACGATGTGTTATCAACTCTCTTCAATAGTGACTACTTCCTATAATGATGATAAGAATAAGCTCACACGAGTTCTACTTTGGTGATACGTTTACAATGATTTACCCAAGACATGATCAAACTGATCTTCACTAGATAAATCTAAAAGTGTGCAGAAGCAACATCAAACAAAATCCAAAAAGCACAGCAACTAAGCAGCAAAATTTGATTCGTCATGACAGTGTTCAGATTTATTTGATCGACATTAATAAGAAAATGGATTAGCTTAGTCTTGTGGGGATCAGACAAACCTACTGTACAATGTATCAAATTTCTTCAAATGCTTGAACTTGGAAAATTTTGAATAGCTGAAAATAATGAAAATATACCAACTATGAAGTCACTTTAGCCGCTTGTTCAGTCACCTGATTCACTTCGATTATCTTCTTATTCTTCTCAACCGCCGCTGTGCCGAAATCAACACTACCTTGACCAATCTTGTTCTCGAGAATAGCAGAGACGCCACTGATAGGTTGGTTAATGAAAAACCTGGAATCCCTAATCCTGAATTACTGACTGAGAAACTCAAGATCGAAGAGACATGGAAATAAAGGTGGGTTGATCTGAATCAAACTCTTAAATCTCTTTATTCATATCAGAAGAGAGAGTAGAGAGAAAGAATTTTTTTTTGTTTTATTGGTTTTTGTTAAAAGGAGTTCATTGAACCAGGGATTGACACGTTATCGTCTCTAAACAATTTTGAAAGTTAACAACCGGCTCTGTTCTTTTCTAAATATTAATCATTTTTTTTACTTTAAAAAACCCTTAAAAAACTCTTAAGAAACACCGATGGAGGTGCTTTTAATACGGTGGTACCGAGCTGCGTGGGGCCCTCAAGCGTTGACTTTATATTTCATTATTCAAAACTCTGACTCAGTCTTACTCTTTATGGTTCGTCATTCATTTGACATTTTTGTGTTTCTAATTTTGTATTTGAATAATTCTATACTATTTAAAAAGTATTATTTTTAAATATCCAAAAGGTACTATAATATTTACTGAATGTATCATTGGATTATCTAGAAAATTTAATCATAAATTTTGTCATATTATTAAACTGTTAACAAATACATTAAATTAAATTAAATTATATTAATTTGTTAACAGATAATATCAATAAATTATATCTAATACTAATATAATTTAATTTAATTTTAAAACTATTTCAAAATCTTTCATAATATCATATAATATTTTAACATAATTATCATATATATAGCATGAATAAATAATATAATTATATATATATTATTTTATAATTAATTTTTACTATTTATTAAAAGAAAAGCACTATTTTAAAATGTTTAAAACTATCTTTCTATTTACTAAATATGCTAATTTATAGTCAATGATGAATGTATAATAATTATTTTTGGTTATATATATATATATATATATACTACGAAAAAATATTATGTAAATAAATTATTTTTCTGGGCTGTTAACAATTTTTCATTAATAAATCTCTCAAAAAAATAGTTCAAACTTTTTTAATTTTTTTTTCTTTCAAAATTGATATTTTATCAAAAATAGTTATGAGATATTATTGACAAGCTTACAACAAAAAAGAAAAATTATATAACAAAATCTATAATCTCAGTTTTTATATATTAATTTAGATTTAATTTATAAATTTGAACAAGATAATTTTCTTTAACATATATTTCACATCTAATTTTTTTAAAATATATATAATATAATCGTTATGATCATAATAATTTCGATCTCATTCTATAGTAATTGCATAATCTTACGATAATTTTAGTTTAAAAACAACAAAAATATTTAGTAAAATTTTCACGAATCTCGTTTTAAAAAATAATTATAATTAAAAAAACATATAATTTATGGATATAAATCTGCTTGAGTTTTTTAACATATTGTTTCAATTATTTTTTAAGAGAATTTACATAGATATTGGTTGATTGAGAACTAAAATAAAAATCACGGGTGTTCACATGTATCTTAATAGAAGTACTCTTCATACAATATTCAAAATCACATATCTTAGTTATATGTATTATTATCATCTTTAATTGTATATAGATGATCTTTACAAGTTTCATGATTTCTTCTTGGTCAAGCAATGGATTTCACTAAAAAAATTAATATGTTCTGTATACAACGATTTTCATATGTCTATGAAATTTAATGTTTTTTTTACTTTTTCTGATAATATTAGTTTTTTCCACTGATTGTTTTATTTTCAATAATATTAGTATGTGTAATGAAACCACAATTCTAATTCAAAAGTAAAAAAATGGTAAGTTTCAATTTCAATAATATTAGTTGAAGAGTATGTGTGGTGAAACTAATTATGTTGGGATTGGTAAGTGAAATAGATTAATGTTAGTAAATTATATTGATGGTCTTTGTTTTAGTCTAATAAACGTAAGCGTTTAAAGTGTTGGTGAAAATTTAAAATTAGTGGATAAATATTGTCTGATGGTAATAATGATGTTGATGGTAAAAATGATGTTAGATGCAACTATTATAACCATAATTGTTGCATAGATTTACATAGAAATAGTATTATTACTTTACTACATCACATACATGAAAGTATGTTAGGATATGCAACTATTGTAACCATAACTATTGTATAGATTTACATAGAAATGGTACCATTACTTTGCTACATCACATGAGAGTATGTTCAAAGATTCCTACATGTACTCATGTATATGGAAATAGGAAGTTAGATATGATGGCGTTTGAGGAAATGATTGTAGTGGCAATCATTGAGCATGATATGCATTATTCATTAGTTGAGTATAAAAGGATTATAGAGGCTTTTTTATGCTAATTTTAGTATAGAGTTTTAGAGTAAGAATATTGTAATAGCTGATTGTCTAAAAATTTTTGAGAAAAAAAAAATAAAATGTTAAAAGATTTTAAATGAAGTTCCTGGTAGGTTTTGTTTGACAAGCAATTTTTGGAAAGCATTTACAATAAAAGTTACATTTGCTTAAATGTACATTATATTGACAGTGGCTGAAATTTGTAAACTAAAATATTGTTATTTTGTGCTTTTCTTCCTCCACATACTGATGCTACTATAGCAACAAAGGTGATGAAGTTGTTGAAAGAATTGAGATTAGAGAAGAAAGTGTTTACAATTACAATGGACAATGCTTCATCAAATGACAACATGTAAGGAATTCTCAAAAGACAGTTTTGAAAATAATTGGTGTGCAATGAAGAGTTCTTTCATGTAAGATGTGCATCAG